ACAAAGAATATATTCCTTTAATATCAGGCCCAAATAAAAACAGTTCATCAAACAAATTATCATTATAAAGTTCGGTCTTTGAATCTTTTTTGTTCAAGCTCTTTATCAGGCTCTACTACAAGACAATATAAAACAAGCACTGAATAGATCCCCTCAATATGTATTTGGACAGAAAAAAAATGCAGAAAAACTGCATTTTTTATTTGGAAAAGTGAGAAGAATGAAGCGAGTAAAAATGATTTCCTCATAATTAGGGTCGGGTTGCACACATTATCTACCTCATTAATTTTGGCCTTAGGGTAAATTTTCTGCCTGTTCCCCTTGGCAAAACAAACAAACAAACAAACAAAAAAAAAAAACATCTGCCAAGGCAGCTTAATTTTTAAAATAAATATTTGAATAATTAATTAGCACACTTCTCATTATTAGTTTATTATGACAGAAAACTGGTTGACGAAAATTGAGTTAATTAAATTAACTAATTAATTAGCTCCATTCCCATAATTAATTAATCAATTAATCAACACTTAAATCTAGCCCATTTTGACCTATCTTGAAAATTTCATAAAAATCCCTCCATAACTTTTTTCAAATGTTACAAACAGACTCAATTTATTAACCTATTATTGGAATACCAAGAAAACTTAATTGTTTGTTACTTGGTCCCCAAGCGACAGTACTGAATATTTCATCAAAATCTGTCTTCATCCATTTATATAGTTTTAAACAGAGAGACAGACAGACAGACAAACGGAGCAAAAAACATTACCTCCTTGGCAAAGGAAATAAAACTGCAGATATGAAGCATTTTTTTACTTTCTTTTTAGGCTATTTGTTGCAGGCCTGTAATAATATTACCCCATGTGAATCTGACTGGGCTTTGGAAGTGATTAACTGATACTGATGAATAAAAAAAAAAGAATACTTGAAGTTACATTTTATTGTCCTTAAACATGATAAAACAAAAACAAAAATTAAAATAAAAAAAATCCTTCAAAGTGATAGTTTTAACTAAACACTGTATGAGGTATAGTACATCTCTGTGATAAACAGATAAAACTGAGATGATTACATTATCAATTATTGCACAGAGATAATAAGGAATGATGGATATGTAATATTTTAAATAGAGAGTTTTAAAACCATGGAGTAACAAAGAAATTACACAAATATCATATTACATATTATGACCCTGGTCATTTTTGTACACTTCTTAAAAATACAAATATGGTATATCTCATTCAAATTTACACAAAATTAAAAAAAATTGTACTAACACATTGTCTACATGATTTTAATGACATTTTGATTAATTTTCATCTGTTCAAAAATGATAAGAAAAACTATACAGTACAAGACATTAACATGGTTATATCTAAATGTACTAAAAACATACTTACACATTGTCTACATGATTCAGTGACAATTTTTGATTAATTTTTACCTTATAAAATGAAAATTCAGAAAAACTATGCAGTATCAGACATTAACATGGTTATATCTAAATGCTGTATGAAGGAACACAAATGTAAAAACAACACCCTTAAACAGCATTAAAAGTGAACATTCACAAATGCTGATATTGTTAAAGGTACACTCTATCATTTTGAAAATCCCCCAAATGCTTATTTTTGTCATCCGCAGCTTCTTATTAAACCTAATATACACCTTAAAAATGATTTAACCCCTTAAATAATTTTTTCTGGAGCTCACCTGATATTGATACATGTATGTATCCATCATTAAGAAGATGGTCGCTGGTAATAATGACAGGCCCGTCATTTAAAACTAAATCATCCTTTATAAATTTACTTAAAGAACAAATTCAAGTGTAGAGAAGGATAGATAAATGATAAGTGAGTATGAGAAATTTGCTTTTTTCCCCTGAAAAAATCCATTTTGGTGGGTAAAATCCCATGGAGTTGCCCTTTAATCTTAACATCAAAACTACTCCATGACTGAATTAACAAAAAATATCAAAACAGGAAACAATCACAGCCAAAATTAGGTCATAATAACATCTAATTTCACAAAATATTCATTAAGGAAAATATCTCTGGAAAAAGTCCAATATCAAATACAACCCTGTCTCTTGGTCACAATAGTGAATCTGTCACTTACAAAATTATTTTTACAACAAAATTGTCGTAAATTAAAGAGAACAACCATATATCAAAATCATTAGATTCATAATTAATGCATCATGATTTATGCTTTTCCACTGAATCATATTTCATCACAAAAGATATAATTTGAGACCTCATTTTTTACCCTTTCTATGGTACTCCATCTGACTGCTAGTGTTACATCCCATCTAAATTCTTTTTCAATTTTTCTTGTTCCACCTGTCCAAATCCAATGCATTCCAAGTAGCTTTGAACAGAACCATACCTAAAAAAAAGTTTATCTATCAACATTTCATTGTATATTCTATTTTGTAAGATACATTTTCAAAAAACAAACAATTAAAACTAGCACTGTTTTCAACAACAGCTTCCACAGGCCCGTAGCCAGCAATTTCAAAAGGGGGGTTCTTTTTCTGAAAAAGTGGACCTTTTTCCATGAAAACTTCATGAACATAGATCAAATTTTACCCCGAGTGTACCTTTTCCCCACTAAAAGGGGCGGTTCTTTTGAACCCCCCGAACCCCCCCTGGCTACGGGCTTGTTCCATCAAACACAAAAGAACACCTTAAGAACAACTATTTCTAGACTTGCACACTCACTCTCTATCAATGTAATCCAGTAATCCTTCCATGGTTTCAACGTCAGACTTCAGAAACTGTTCACTCATATGAAATTTCTTTACTACTTCATCATGGCATCTAGAATGCACTGGCCTTAGCTCTGCCTGTAATTTAACAGACAATCATGTCTATGATGTTCATAAATCAATCAAAAAAATGAAATTTAACAAGAATTTATACTTCTGTCTTTAACTTTAAAAATATTTAAATATTTATTTTTTTTTATTTACTATGATACAAGCCATGACTGAAAATGAGATACAACCCTGCTTTTAAGAATTTGGCTTCATTAATATTGTGATCTCTTGAAAAAATAGCTACATTGGTTATATACCACATACTGGAGTTAATATAGTCAGTGCCTATTCAAGTCTTCAAAATGTTATATTATAAGACCAAACTAGGTATGTTATATGGTAGTGTGAGCAGTGCATGACACTGTTTTTCAAGAGTGGCATTAAATTTCATACTGTACTAACAGTGCACACATAATTTGAAACCACCACAATACCTCAGAGAGAGCATAATCCCTAGCAATGTGTTCCCTGGATGCTCCTACACATGACAAGACAAGGGCAGTTAAAATGCCTGTTCTGTCTTTTCCATGGGCACAGTTAATGACAGCTGGGAGGTTCCCTTCAGTAGCAAGAAGCTTGAGAGCTGAAAAGGCAACATATAGTGATGTATGAAAGTGAAAAATGTGTGGTGCAATAAATATAAAGTTTAATGATCTGTAAATGCTGACTAATACTTTTGCCTGTACTTATTCTCATAGTCTAGTGTATCTGACTTCAGCTGACAACACAACTACAAAACACATAACTGTACATTAAGGCACTGAATGTCACATGAAACAGCCAATGTATGTACTGTACAGAGGGGTAAGCTTGGGGCTCTTTATTTCCTACCCCTCAAATGTAACATTAGTTTTATAAAAGGGCCTCACCTCCTACTAGTATTTTGCATATGTTAATGAATGAATTTCTTACCTGCACATATACTAGGTTGGCTCATTTCAATCATGTCTATGTACTGCTCTAAAAGCCCTCCAACATTCAATACGTTTCTGGCAAATAAACGGATGAAGTGTTTGTAGTTTGTGTGGAATATCACGTCTATGACCAAAAGCAGAATGCCGTATAACTTAATATACCATGTCGCTCGGTTGAATATTGTCCAAATATAATTCCAATTATAGAAGTTGATAAAATAGTGTTTTCTGCTCTGTTCAGTAGAGGTGTTCGCGTTGCTGGAACACGCTGTCGTTTTAAATGCCTTCACTTTAACGGCGTCTGAAGGCTTATTTCCTAAAAATCCTGGTAGAAGCACCTTCAAGGGTTTATAGATGCGATCTAAGTGCTTGTCGCCAGTCGCCTTCAGGTACTCGGAACGGGACCGCAAGTCAACTATGCTTTGGATACCCATTTCTTTCATCTTATCTACCTCAGATTCTGTCATGAAATCTGGTCTTGAAGACCTATACAGTGTACCTGGTCCATCTGTTTGGTTGCCATGCTTCTTGGGATCATTTAGAATCGGATAAACTTGACGGAAATTATGAGCGAACTGGTACATCTTTCACTTCCTACTTTCACATTTACCGGAAGTTTTATGTGCAGTCAGCTGTTAGGAGAAAAAGGTGAAAATATATTGCAGCAGCTGATTGGTTTAAATGGGCATTTGAAACACGACGAACCCAAATATGCAATATGTTATAAAATAATTTTTCACAAATATCTGCTTCAAATAATGATCATCACTTATAAAAATTAAAAAATATTTTTTTTATCATATGGCAAAATCAGAGCAATATTGAGGTTTTAAAATGTGGTAAGCATTTACTATATATACTTTTAAATATGTGGTAAGTCATGATTAAAATTTGTCAATATGGCAGCAGACGAGGTTCAAGAATTTTTTCCATCGGCAAACTTAAGCCTGCTGTCACTTTCAGAGATCGCTGGTGAAAAACAAGCATCATATATACACAGTAACCAAAAAGTGCAAAAGAGCACAGGCGATGCTGAAGTGCTCGAGCCTAGCGATGAGAAGGAAAAGGTGAAGATAGCCACGCACAATCATTAGCTACAGTAGCTGAAGTAACTCGCAAGAACAAAGACGCCAGTCTGGAAGTGAAACTGTATTGCTTACTAATAATTTTTTTCTTTTTTAAGATTTTTTGAAGATTAATTGAGACTTTGTTCATGATGCATAATTTTTTTCAACATTTGTACATTTAAGCTCAGATAATGATATATTTTACATTTAATTTCCAGTTTCCTCGAATCGTTCCACTAAATGTTGGCGGAATTCATTTCATGACTCGTCTCTCCACTCTAACTAAATACAGTGATTCCATGCTTGCAGCCATGTTTAGTGGCAGACACCATATTGACAAAGACAAAGATGGCAACTATTTCATAGACAGCAATGGAAGATACTTTGGATATATTTTAGAATACCTACGTCATGGGACTTTGGCTCCTAAAGATGTAGCAGAGTATGTGTACAAAGAGGCAATGTACTATGGCTTATATGACCTGATGGAGCAGCTGACCACCACCCCCAGGGTGTCCAAACTCTTGGTCAGTGAGGCACACAGGGCACAGTTTCCAAATTACTTTGAGGTGAAGCAGAGGACAATAAAAACTGCTGTAGAAAATGCCACTGTGTTGAATAAAGCAGGGGAAGTGATTATTTATGCCTTTAGAAAAGAATTTGTACCCAAAGCACCAAACTTTAACACTAATCACAACTGTGTGGCAGACCAGGCTCATATCAATGTGGGGCCGTGGGAAGCTCTGGCAGATGAAGAGACCTTTATACGTTGTTTGGAAAATGATCTTGTTGAAGATGGCTTTAATGTGATGCGTCATGAAGCCAAAAGAAGATGCAAATATTATTATGGGCAGAATTGTCAGAAATGTATTTACAGAATACAAATTGTGTTTTCATAGTGAATACAAGGCAATGATTAGTTAAAAGTGAAATTAAAATTGTGTATGCTTATTCTGATGGCGACTGCTCTTATCATTTAAGTACAATCATTGTTATTTACATAAAGTACATTCATCATTGCAAATATATGACAGTACTACCCCAGTATGTTCATATGTGTAAAATCTTTCATCCACAACATCTTGATTAAATTTCATTTTCATTAATTGCATGATAACAGATTTTCATCAATTGAAAGACGTTTCTGCATTTCTTGTCAGATTGTTTCAGTTTGTAACTGACATTTCCTCTTGCAGCATGTCATCTTTTCAGCAGTTTTCAGTTGCCTTATGATCATATTTGCCATATTTTTAAGTATTGTGCAATCTAAAAGTAAAATAATGACTGGTAAATTGGGTTTCAGCCAAATTTCAAAGTAAGATCTGTATCATTAATCTTAGAATTTCATGTATTTGAAATGAAGTTAAATTTAAGGTTGTAGGAATTTGGTAATGTGCAATCTATTCCAACACCAAGTCTGTTTCAAGGACAGTCCCGGTTGCTCTCATTTGATAAACTGTAGCTTCTGTATAATTTAAGGGACATTTTGGTGCTGGAGATGGTGAGATGCATGGAGAATTGAGTTAAGCAATGTTTATAAGCTTACGTATTTCATTGTACCAAACACGAGCCTTTTTGACAAATTCAGAAAGGAACAATGTTCATATTTAATATTCAAGATGAACTTATATTATGGTGAAAATGCAAATGTAATCTTTATGAGAAGCTGCACCTTTTGAGTTTATTCATTAAGTTTTTGGGCCAAATTGCACAAAGAATCCAAGTACACAAAGTTTCTGGGGCAATCTTTTGGTTCTATTTAAGCGCAGTAAATCCTTTAAGATTCTGGATAAAACAACCGACAATTTAGTAAGAGTTACTCAATATTTCAAGTTACAGATTTTGAGTAAGGTGATGTGTTTTAAGGAGTGAAAAAAGAAAAAAAAAGTGTAGCACAATTGAGATAAATAATGTAAGGTGAGGAGTTATGGAGTCGGCTTCAATTAGTATATACTTACGAAGTTACGGTGTTTGGAAAAAACTGGTGACAAAATTTGCAAGAAGTAATTGTAACTCTATCCAGGGTTCAAGATTCAAGATTTCCTCAAATTTACATTCCTTGAACCATTCTATTGGCTTGTAATGGAATGGTGTGGTTGCTGTCCTTTTGTTTTTGGGGTTTCATCCAATTTGAACATTCCTTTTTTCCATCCTTGTTTTTCACCAAGAAACAAGATCTTTTCAAGACTGTTAGTGCCATCTAAGATCTAATAAACGGTAAATGGTATATTAGATCTTAGGTGCCATATTGGGTGTGGATATAATTGTCTGCATATGCAGTCCACGTTTGTTTGTGGACTTGATTTGTTTGTAAAATGCTAGTCTTAATTATTTTGACCAAAACATTCAAGTTTTATTTAAACACTTCAACTGGTCATCAGTTTTAAGTGTAAAACATGGCCATTTCCATTAAATGCAGTGGATTTGAAAATTAAAGAATTACATTGTGTAACGATTTGGTAAAAATTATAAATAAAATAAATATGTATCAAACTAAATAGTGTTTTATTTGAGTGTTTGATTTGTTAAGGACATAACAAAATACATATGATTAGCATGCTACTTAATAATAGTCTATCTAACATTGGTTCATTCTAATAAATACTTTAATATTTTCCACTAGATTTATACAAATGGTAACTCTTCATGTGACATTCACTCCGTTCCTTCTGCTGAATATGCTGTAAGTATCAGCTTTAACAAATCCAAACCAGCTATTTTTCAGTTGTTCTTGTCATTTCAGCAACCCATTCTATGTGCCACAATACATCGCCATTGGGCCTCACAGAATTTAAATTCCCATTTAAACTGATTCAGTACACAATTTGTTTCTGGAACATATGCACTGAATCACTGCTTTTAAATTGTATTGAGTTTGGCAGTGACAAAACCCATAATAACAGGATTGTTGCCAGAGTCCACATCTGGATCCACTCCTCAACCAAACCTTTGTTTATAACGAAAACAAAAATTAAATCCTGCTAGAATCCATATTTGGATTGTGTCTGTTTCTTTGTCATTCTATTCTGTGACCATTCATTCTTCAACTCCAGTTCCCTCTCCTTGGCCTGGAATGCTAGGTAGGTGATCTGGTGCTTCTTTCTCTGCTGGCTGGTGGGCATAGAGCCATCTTTCTTCTTGTGAGACTGATAAGGTACTTCTGCTGACAGGGTTTTTGTATACTCCATAGGGTCCAAGACATCATCAGCATTGGCATCTATGATCTGGATCTCCTCTTTGCCTCGTTTTTTCTTTCCTTGAATTCTGAAATTAAGATCAAATTAGTAGCTTTAATTTTTTCCCTGATCAATGTGTAAAACCTTAATCAGCTGAACACAATTACCTAAATGCTAAAACTTATTCTTAGATCATAACTGTGAAAATAACTTACTTTAGGAACTCTTGATCTTGCATCAGTTGGTTAACTTCTTCTTGTTGATAGTATGAAGCACCTCCCTGCTCATAACCCCCATAATATGCTGTACTATTATTATAGTCCACACCCTGAGAGTCATAGTAAGCTTCATTACTGCCATAGTCTATACCCTTTGCTCCATGCTCATCAGATGTCCCAGGAGTAATGTAACCTCCAGAAGCTGTCTCAGTGCCTGTGTAGCCTCCTCCATAAGCCATTTCAGTTTTGTAATCAAATCTGGGACCACTCAATGGCTCCTCTGTGGTTGATGTTTCATTGTTTGTATTTAAAGTAGTTCCTGTAGAACTAAGTGCTTTAGCTACTGCATCTGGTAATTTTTGTTTTAATACGCTACTTGTAGTCCTTTCCTTTGGAACAGACACTGGTGGCACAGTACTATTTGTTTCAATTGTGTCTTTCTCTTTGTCAGCAAATGAGAAAAAGCTGCTTCCACCAGTGACGTCATTGCCCTCCTCATCTTCATCACTGTCAACATCTACTAGTTTGTTTCTACTTGCTACCCCACTTGTCTGCTTCACACTGACTGGAAGTTTAGGAACTGGAGGTTTTGGTGCAGGTTTCTGGGTAAGGGTGTGTGGAACCAAAGGACGCGTTGTTTGCTTTGTCACAGCATTTTTCGGGGCAGGTAGTACAGCAAACAAGCCACACTTCCCTTAAATGATAAAATGATTATGAAGATTTTAAAATAAATCTGTTATCAAGTAATAGACCAAAATGTAAAAAAAAAAAACTGAGAAAAAAAAGAGACATTTAATGTTTGACTAAGAAAACGAAAATCCAATGGGTAAACATTTCACATATGAAAGACTGTCATAAAAGCAAGCAAATTAATATGAACACTTTTAAATATACAAAAAAATACACAAACACATACAAAAGTTTACATAAATGCATAAAGATAAAGATGTAAGGCACACAGAAAAGATCTAAAGGAAATTGTCTGACAGAATAACTTGCAGCCCAGCACATCACTGTAAGCAAGAACAAGCATATAACAAACCTGCTGCAGGCTTTATTTTCTTGGGTGCAGGTTCATCTTCCTCATCTGAGTCAACTGATGTCAGATTCGGTATGGCAATTTTGACTTTCTGTCTCTCTTTCGCCTTTTTTGGCTGTTGTAAATTCAGGCCTCCTTTGTGAAGAACTGGTGCTGGGAGATTCATGCTAGAATTGGGTAGCACTTCATCTTCTTCTGTGTATTCAGTTGGGGCTTGCTGTCTACTGGACTTAGGAGGAGGTAAGCCTGGAAGTGAACGGATTTATACTGGAACATTAACTTTATTTGGATGTGAATGATATGAACTTGAAGCAACTTCTGAAGAATCAAGGAGTTATAACAGAAGGAGATTACACGCAAGCCTTTCTATTGTCCGATGTCTGTTACGGTGGGCGGAGCTAGCTACGGGGGGCCTCCGGTCTCAAGGTTTCGTCTGCGTCGCTCTCCTCAGCTTGGAGATANGAGGTAAGCCTGGAAGTAACGGATTTATACTGGAACATTAACTTTATTTGGATGTGAATGATATAAACTTGAAGCAACTTCTGAAGAATCTTGATTATAGTTCCACTGAGAGTTTCAAACCAGTTAATAAAACATTATTTGAATATACTCTGTGCCTAACACTTCAAGTTATCCTAACCGGGATTTCCCTTCTAAAATGAACTTTTATCGAAAAAATAGGCAAATTTCTCATATTTTAATTATTGCCGCTTGATCTTCAATGTACTGAACATGTACCTGTACCTGCTAACAAACTAGTCGTTGGGACACTGCCGTTGTTGTTGCTACTGGCAAGGAAAGAGGGCTCTAATCGGCTTTGCAAAGCCTTATTATCCTGCTTCAAAGCTTCATCTTTTGCCTCTATTATCTCCTCGTTGTCGCTTTCCTCGCTATCGCTGTTTCCATATGATACAAGTGACATTGTTAAACTCGTCTTTCTGAGTCTCACACTGATCTCACACGGAAGTTGATCCTATTTCGTTGCGGTGTGCAGAAAATACCACATTTTGATTGGTCTAAAATCAATACCGTGACCTAAGAACCTTGACCCATTATTCGTGCAGAAGAGCTCGAAACAAAATGCTTAGAACAGTCACAAATAGGTTACTCTAATCGTGAAAGTTGGTGTTTGGGGTAGCTTATCAGCGTAGCGTTCCTTTGCATTGATCGGGTATATCGACCAAGGGCTAGTTGAATTCTTTTTTCGTGGAAGATAAGGAGTGTTTGATACATTCTATTCATGAGTTAGCTGATTCAGCATCCAGCGGAAAACAGCTGATTGTGTTGGTAAACCGACTCCATAGCGCGACTGATTGTCAGTCAGCCGGCCTGCTAGCGGAGGAAAAAATCGGGCGACTTTGACAGAAAGAATCTTCAAAATGTAAGTTGAATTGTTTTTTTGGGAAAATAAAGAATTTATTTTTAATGCTGACAAATGAACGAAGAATGATAGAGTCAACACAGTGATAAATTTGATGATAAAACTAATTAAATATGCCTGGGCTTGCTTTTGACTAACTTAAAATGAAACCATGTTGACTAGTCAGTTACATGATACAGGTCAAATACCTGAGCAGGTGTTTTTGTTTGTTTTATAATGTGGCTTATTATTGTGCTATATGTATTTTAGCGTGTTGTTTATCATAGAAAGCTCAAACCTGACTCCTGGCAAATATGCCTGATTGAATAAGAAAGTCTTCAGCTTGGAGGGGGGTCAACGTAGCAACAGCATGCCACTAAGTCTGAATCCTCAGCCTCTAGTTCTTCTATTAAAGCTTTTTCTATATTAGCAGATGTGTTGGAATTGTATTTAAATTTAAATAGGTGTGCTAGAGGTACCAGTAGAATATTAAGACCATGTCTTTCAGATAACATTGTTAATACCATGCTGTTCCAGGTGTAGATAGAGGTAGTTTGTCTTTTGGTTTAAAATTCTTAGAAGATGAGGCAAGCTGAATATTATCTGCAGTGATGGTAAACTTGGTTTATTTTTTGTGCCCAAGTCAAAATATTCTACATTTTAAATTCTGCATTCACTAAGCAAATCCTTTATTCACAGATTGTACCTGAGTTTTTAATGTATATGAGTATATTTATTGTATATGAGTTTTTAATGGTTCATTTGAAAATCCTGTAGATTTGATCAACATTTTTTCACCATCCATTTTATTTGTAATCTGTCTCTGTAACATCATTCAAACTAAGTTGTTTTATTCAGCAGAAGAAAATCACTGATACTATTTCAGAAATAGTATTCACAAGAGTAGTTACTTAAAACTGGTGCAATTGTAAAGTAGTGTATATTGTGAATATTCTGCAGATCAGACTTTTAGATTACTGCATCTGATTAAGTGAATTGTTATTTTTTAAGCCAAGGGGGTTTATATGTTGTAGATGTTATCTTCTACTTCTTTTTGCTTTTTTAAATGAGCAGTTTCTGCCACAGGTTCTCTTAGGCCCTGACCTTATGCTTGTTTAAGTCCCAGTGTGCATGGGCTGCAAGACATGGGTGTTTTAAATAGAAAATTGTATTTAATACTCACAGTAGATAGGTAAAATTCATATAAATTTCTCTGCCAAGAGGTAAAGGTTATTTAGATCTGTTGTTATGTATTTTTTTACGTATTTACTTTTTGTTGTTAACAACTAGTGAAATGATGTGTTTATAACAAACAAACAAACAAACAAAAAAAGTGCTGTGATCTCAACCCAACACGTACTAAATGGTATGAGGATGTCTCCATTACTTTATATATACCGAGGTCTTTCACCTGTGGTTTCTTTACCTTTGATATACATAACATTAAACTCTCAGTAAAAGAAAGCAGGCAAAGTTTTATGTAACATCTGACATAGATCTGTTGAGGGGTTATAGACCCTAGCAATTGTCATGAGTTCTGTCTATGTACCCTAATATTTCAGCTCAATTGAAGTATAAATCAAATTCCTGGGCCAGTTGCATAACTGACTGGACAGTTCATTTACATCAGCTGCCCAGGTCTTTATTGTTTTACTGACCAGCTAGGCATTGTGAAGGGTCGGTCAGATGCAGAAGTCTGACCACAGTGTAAGTTGATGAATTAAATGCAATAAAGTTAGTTGGTCAATAGTTATTTGCAGAGAGGTGTACTTCCACAATGAGTGCAGATATCCAGGGGTGCCATGTGGGCTCCTATATCAGGTATGCATACTTTGTACCTGGACTGGTCACTAAAGGCATAGATCACCTATAGGGGCTGCCTCTATCTATAGGACCAACTCCAGCGGGCCACTTAAACAATTTAACCCAACACCAGGGTGGTAAAAAACAATATATTCCACATGTCCAGTTTGACTCTTTAATGCTATAAGAGAAATTAATCTCAACTGTTAACAGTTTATTCAGCAACAGGTTTTTGTTTAATTTTTATTGATTTGAAAAATACCAATATGAATAGACTGAAATGCTTGTTGATTAATTATTTTCTTAAAATTATTTTCTTTGTGAAACATTTGACATCAGTGGAGATCTTGTCAAAACAATAAAAAAAACTTTCAAAAAAAATGTAACATTTGGAAAGTCCATTGCAAAATGATGTTAAGAAATGTTGGTATGTATCATATCTATATGCAATTTTTTATTTCATGTGCTTTTGGTAGAAAATGATTCTTATTCAATGTGTTAAACGGTATTCTTTTTCTTTTTCTTTTAGAATACATGAAAAACTCTGCTGATAATGTAACATCAGTAGAATGAAAAAGACCATGGCAATCTCTCTCTCTCTTTCTCTCTCTCTTTCTCAATTGGGCAATATTTTTGGTGCAAGGGTTAAAGCAGCTGTTTTACCCATTGAGATAAAAATGGGTATATAGCAAAGCATTCACAGTCCACCTGAATGTAATCAAGTTCTCATTGTATTTCATACCTTTCCATTTCGCCATTACTGATCAGATCATGATGTCAAGTAGGGGAAGTGGAGGAAGTCTTTCCTTTCCTCAACCTGATTTTGAAACATGCTTTATCAGACCACATTGTGCCTTAAGCTTTTCTTCCCGTTTTGGAAATGGTGAGTCTTGTCATTTTCCTATTAGAAAGGTGTCACATTTGTCTATGACAGTTGTAAATTTGATATGGAGGACATAGAAAAAGATAATACCCTGAAGCCACTCTTTATTTTAACTTATTAATGCTACTACTGAGATATGCCCTTTACTACACTTGTGACAAGGCAAGTGAAAATCCAGGCATCTGTATGCTGATGAATATGAAAATTATTTTGTTGCTAACAGAACAAGTGGTCTTTTCTAATCCTGATGTTCAGCAAGAAATAGCTCAGAAGTATTTGCAGTCTTATGTGTGCTGCTATATAAGTAGGTTGATTTTTAATATTGTTGCACATCAACCTAATTATTATTTTATTTTAATTCAGAAAAGAGAAATTGATAAGAGAAAAATTAATTTTTATCACTGAATTGGGTGAATCTGTTAAGACATAGGGGTTTGGAAGGGTATGTCAATAAAAACTATCAAACTATACTTACTGAAATTATATTGTTGTAACACAACAAGTTACTTCAACATATTCTTAACTAAAAAGAAAGGCACCTAGATTTTCAGTGCTGTAAGCTATAACATTGGTAGCTCTGATATTTTTCTGATTTACCTATGATGCAAGATATGGAAATCAAAAGTTGGAATTTGTTTCTGTGACTGTGACGAATATTAATGTTGATTTATTATTATTTTTATCAAGCATAGTAAATTATGTTTTCAGCTTTTGTTGGTCTATTATTTACAACCTAACAAAAGAAAATGTGGGTGGATTATAGTAAAATTTCAAGATAGGTTAGAAATGGCCTTACTTAGAATGTAGTGGAGTTTGGTGTTGAACTTTTAATTACTTTATGATTCATTGAGAATTGGGGTGCCTTGACAGAGCTCTGAGCCTGCAGTGCTTTTCAAGTTTTTTATATTATTAATTGTTCAGATGGCATCGTAACATGCAAATTTGGTAGTTGGAGGGGGAGTGGTATTGCTGATCCAATTCACTTTGAATAGAAAAAAAAAGATAAAAGTAGAAAGAGGTGTTTTGTCTGTTGTCCAAATAGACATTGAATAACAAAGTGATCCGTCAACAAAGCCGAGTGGGCTGAGGAAGTGGGGAAATGTCTCCAGTGAGCGGCAGTGTAAAATTAATGTGTGTCAAGAGTTCACTTTACAAACAGGAAAGCTCCATAGTCTGCAGTTCTAAATGATATCCATACAAACTGTTGTCCACCCATGGAAATAATAGATTGAAGTTGTGTCATGGCTTGGTTAGAAAGAAAGGTGTTCAATGTCGTTTGTGAATTTATAATTGGCTGTGGTTGATGAAAATTGTCAAATGTTTGAAAATAAATTCATTGCCAAGGTGCAGATTGTTTCGTATGTCAAGCAGCAAGTCTGTGACATGAAATGGGCCGTTCATTTTGTTAATGTGAAGCCTACTACTCTGCATGAGGTATTTAATTGGAAATGGGTGAAGAGAGGCTGTTTGTATGTGTATGTGTGCGTGCATGCGTTTTCCATGATTGTTTAAAATTTTAATTTAAGAAAAATGAGTGAATTTATACTGAGTTTGGGTAGTCATTGGAAAGAGGCCAAGTGAAGACCTTTCACTGTATGTTAGACCTCATTGTGGTTACGTTAATTGATGAAACATTAAAGCAATATTCAAGGCAACAGTCCTTGTTGCATTGTGCTATTGATTTGTCAGTTCAAATCACATAACTCTACTTAAATAAAGCTATTGATTTAGATTTTGTATTGCAGAAAGTGTGAGACTGATTTATTTAACATTTCTGCACAGTCATGCACAGCATATAGAGTTGCAGACTGCTTACTAGTAATCAGACAGAGTGATCTGATAGAAAGTTCATATATATGTATTTTCTGGAGCTAAGATTCAGTTTCTTTAAATATTTCTGTGTTTGACGTTTTTTCTGATACTCCAGGTATACTGTTTTTGTTTATTAATATTATTTCAAGCCACATTTGAAAAAGATGCTGTAAGTTGCTGTTTATTGGGTTGATTTTCAAAGCAGGTGGTCTCCTCATGCAAACAAAGGGTTATCATTAAGGATAAGTAGATTTATGATAATCCACATTTATGAGTCCAAGAAGCATTGGGAATTTAAGAAGAAATGTTGAGTCTCTGTTGAAAGGTCTTGTAGAACCATGATCATGTGTAAATCTATGTTTAAAAAAAGATTCCAGTGCACTCCAAGGTCTTCATAAAGGATTAAAATGATCTCAGGGTACCACTGAAGCCTGATACGAAGCTCACTTCAGGCGACATCTGTACAAGTCATTAAGAAATGTCATTTTCTCTCTGATTTCAGATCATATTATGGAACTTACTGTGTTGGATCACAAACTTCACATTTGTTCCATAGCCAAGCGATCAATACCTGCATTCACCCACTCTCTTATTAAATTATCCCTGCTCAACTTCACTGGGTGAGTATTCTTTTTTTAACTCCATTAAATTTTAAAAGATAATGCTCATCTTGTTATGATTTATCATGCGTGCTGATATGGTCACATGAAAATTGTTTTTGCCAGTAAGTGTTTTGGTGGATTACATGCCTCTTAATCTTTTTGATATGCATGTTTTTTTTCATATTCATCTGAAGTATATAGGTTTCAATAGTATGTTTCTAAATACAGGGTTAGAAAAAATACTTCAATCTGGAATCAACATTTTCTTTGAGAGAATGCCTGCAGAGAGAACTGCTGCAGACTGCATTCATCATGTTGATTATATATAACTCACTTCAGTGGAGTACATCTTCAGAGACCCCTCTAGCCCAGTATGTGTCTCTAGACCCCTGCTGATAGCTGGAGGTGAAACTGAAACCAGCGTATTGATAGACATTTCTCTGGTTACATTTACTTATCTATTATCTGTAGCCAGGAGAGATTTAACCTAAGTGGACCCTTGGTAGTTACGCTCTCAGTACATAGGCTGGGCATGATATGTTTGCATCCTTCAGAATAACAATTGATTTTGTGCTTACCAGCATCTTATGTACTTAGTGCTGAGCTCCCCAAGTGCAGAGATAATGCAAGATGTTTTTTCTGAGTTTCCCCAAGATGGTTTATATTAATGGAGCAACTTTATTTTAAAGGAGGTGCTTGCAAAAAAATGAGTTCTTTTCCTCTTCTGTGCCAAGGTATTATGATATGTAATCTGGATTTTGGTCAAGACATCATAATTTATGAACCATTATGGCCCATAATTTATTTGTTGATAATTTACTATATATAGGCATTCAAGACAAATGAATAGTGATGTATGAATATAGATTAGAACTTGGAACATAGTAGAGCTCAACCTTTACTTCCAGCTTTATTTTATAATTGTACATTTCCTCAAAATTTTGGAAAAAGAAACAAAGTGTAAAAAAGTATTTACAGTCATCCGGCCTCCTCCCCCCTGTCAAAAAATTTTTTTGAAAGAAATTAAGCATATCAACTATTTTTAGTTCTGAAGCATGGAGGGCATATATAGTAGGTGCCGTGGTGTAACGTAGTCTACTTCACGCACCCTGAACTTCAGAGATCAGTTGAAAGCAACCTATACACTATAGCATACCCTTGCCGTTTCTTGTTACTTGAAACAACAGGGGTATATAATGTAGAGTGGTTGCTTGAAATGACAGGGATTATGCTATAGTTTAGAGGTTTGTTTCAAGCTCTGAAGCTCAGGGTGATTTCGTCACATTCTGATGATATTTTGTTGAGCACCTGCACATTTGGCTGGCGGAAGGACTAAACTGACACATTGTTGTATGACTGTCTGACAGTCTACTTAGATTTCGAAGCTGTTTAAAATAGAACATTGTATTTTGCCAGTCACATAAATGCAGCCTATGAAATATCCAATATGGCGGCACCCTAAAGAGAAACACGGAGGTTGTTCATACAAATGCAAAGGCCTTTATTTTCTTTAAAAAAAAAATCTGAAATTCTGATGTATTATTCAGATATGACAAAGATTTTCTATATAGTTAAATTAGAAACCCTGTTTTACAAAAAAATTTAGTCAGCTTTATCTGATGAGACTGTATTTTTCAATGAAAAGTAGCTCTTTTTTTGGGAGGGGGAGGGTGCCCTGAGGATTTGGAGCATTTTTCAAAATTTACCTCCAAAAGTTTGACATTTTGTGCTTTAAACTATCTTTATATACACTTAAAGAACAAATATGTGTGTGCCATATAATAAATGTGGAAAAGTGAATTAATGACATCATTCAAATTATTTCCATAAAAGTTATTTTCCACTCTGAATGAAAGTGGGAGGGTATAACCAGAAAACGGATGAGAACTTTTTGCTGCACGACAGGCTGTATGTTGCACTGTCGTGTGTTGGCGATAAAGATAGATTGAAAATCTACTCTACCAATTCTTCCACCTGCAATGTTGTGAACAAAGCGGTATTGTAAATGTAAAATTCAAGGTACTATTTTTTTGTAATACTGTAAAAACCAATGCATTTTTCCACAATGCGTGTACTTAAAACCCTTCAAAACTGTGTGTTCTACAAATTCATTGCCCAAACTATCTCAGAGCCCTACTTGTCCTTTGGATGGGTACTTTTCTAGTACATCATAAGAGCAACAGGTGTTTTTTGGTGAGTGAGACTTCAAAGAGAAACACATTTCATCAAGGTTAAAAGCAATCTTGCATCTTGTTTTTATAGGACTGTTGTAATTTGTCACTTCAGATCAAACAGCTGTGAGTGTCTTTGACAATTTGAGAGCTGAGGTGGCTCTCTTGTGTTCTGATTCAGCACTGTTCTGTAAAGCCAATTGTAGATCAACTCGGGGATGATGATGGTTTGATTGCAAGTAACTGTCTGTCATGCTAGGGAACTATGTTATCCCTTAGTAAAACACAAGAACAGGTTTTTGAGCTGAGCAGTTAACTGTTTAACTGGGGTCAGTGCCATGAAATGTCGTCCTCATCAAGTTTAAACTAAATCATTATATGTTGAAACAGTCTTGAATGCGCCCAGTGCCTGAGTTATGGTTTATTGTCCAGTATATGGACTGTGAAATGTTCCAGTGTACCTGTCATTGTACTGTTGATAAATCACATTGTTTGTTTTCTAGCCAGACCTGCATACACAATATATATGTTCTCTTTTTTTTTTTTCAGCTGCCAGTTTTTTAGTTTCACTGAGACCTGTGATGACTTCACTCTGGTGGTAGATGATGCTGGATATCAGAGTAAATTCAATTTTATTACATAAATATACTCCTTCAGTCACCATGAAGCACACCTTGTTTCATTACATGCCAGCAGCCATTATCACTCTCATTAGCAACATGCAAAGTTTTTAACACAAACCATCTGCAGTTAATCAGTTATTTTTTGCAAGTCCATGAGTCATCATTTTCTATTGTTAGATGTGAAGCAGGTTGTATTCTATTTAGGTTACTTTTCAAAACTTTTTGATGTAAAGTTATGTTAAAGAAATTAGCTTTTGTGTAGAGTTTTTCAACGCTTTTGAAAGGTTAAAGATACCACTTGTTCTTGAATTGAATGAATAACATTCTAGCAACAAAAACACAAAATTTCTTAATCTATTTCTGAATTTACTGTCTGTCAGTGACTAACGAAATACCTGTAATAGATTAAAAAATAGATGTGTAATAATCTTTATAAACTTTAAGAGACTGTTGTATTAAGAAATTGAAAATGGTACACTATTTTTTTCATATCTGTGTTTCCAATTTGCTGTGTAACTAATGGTGATTACTACTTGTAGGTTTGTCAAGCAGTAGAGAGCACATCGAGACAGACGGCAATGTGTGGTTGGCGTTGACTGTGTCATTTGGGCCAGGAACCTCAATGGTTACCATGGGCATCACCAACATTGCCAAATCTCTCATCGTCCCATTGGCTGATGGCAGTGTCCCTATCTACTGTCTGTCTACATATCAGTCAGACTTTATTTTGGTATGTTTGCTTTGTGTGGGTTATTTTTACCTCCATTATATCTGCATATCGATCAGATATGTTATTTATAATTGGTGATGTCACAATGTTTGAGTTTGATAACAGGGTTTTTTATATTGAACGGTGTCATTTGTTTGCATGCTGCATGTTAAATGTGTAGCTTGGCTTTAAATGGGTTATGATGTTATTGGAATGTTTACAAAGAAAGCAATTAGATGGTCTGAAAGTTCTTTACTGATGGAAAACGGGGTCAGAATTTTTTTTTTTTTTCGGCTTTTGATAACAATGAATGGGATTTGCATTGACTTATAGATTTTGAGAATTCTGTAAAGGTGGCACTTAACAGGATATGTGAATATTATATGTGTGTTTCTATAAAGCATAGTGAGTAGTGCAGGAAGGGACATCTGTAAGTGTGCTAGGTGAGACATTCAGTGAGTGAAAAAGGGTGTAAATATAATTTAGAATTTTATAGTTTGTCCCCATTGTGGAATTGAAAAGCCTGATTTATATGATGTATACTCTGTGTCTGACTCAACTCTTTTATTTGCAAACAGAACATTGAATTTAGTAAAACTAAGTAGATTCAATTTTGTGATTGTTCAGCTAGGATTTTGAAATAGGGAGTCCAAACTCATTTTTAACTTAGACCAGCTGTTCAGGTTTCACATTTTTCAGTAATGAAAGTCTGAAAAATAGCAATCTAAAGTTGAAATAAGGAGTCCAAAAAACAGGTGGACAGTTGCCTGGCTAATGTTGTGAAAAGAAATCCTTCTTTTCACAAGTCATCTTCTTGCTTGCAAAATGCTCGAGTCTTTTTTGAGGCTAACCAGTGTTTCATGCCAATGAAAACTAATGTTTTACTTGTAACCATTTACCCTTTATATTTTACTTTATTTAGGTCAAAGAAAAAGACATAGACAGGGTCATAGAAATCATGTCCAGTAAAGTCCAGATATTTAAACAGGTAGATGGAGAACATGTTCTTGTAGAGAAACCAGAACAAGTCAGTAATCATGAACATGTGGCCAAAGGTAATTCTGCCTATATACACAACAATTATCAGAACATTTTATTACCATACACATGACAACATTTGATGAAATTAAAACAAATTTTATCAGTAAAAAATGACTATTACACTGAGCATTAAATTAATATTAGGCAAAATATATTGACTTTTTTTATGTCTTACCCTATATTTTCCCTTCAAGGAAAATTTTCTTTCAAAAAAGATTTTTTTTCTATTTGATAGGAAGTCTTTATCTTTTTCCTACAGATCGACTTATCCTCCACAAATTCAAGACACCAAAGAATAGATTTTTGCTCACAAGTATCAATCCTGATAGTTTGCATACAGTTGGAGTGGCTCTCATACAGAATATGTTTTACTCTGAGAGGTTGGTTCACTATATTTATTACAAGCAGAAATCATTCATTTTGTAGAATTCCTTTTCGTTATTGGAAAACTTGAATCTGGTGAAATGGATTAAAACTCCGATGTCTGCATATTATCGATTCTTTCTGGTCTTTTTTTGAGAAAAATCATGAAAGCGTTAAAGGCTCTCACATTGATTTTTGTTTGTAGCAACTTGTAATAAGAACATTGATGGTTTTTCATTTAGCAAGCACCTTGGTGTTATGCCTGATGATTTTGCTCTTTCAGCTGTAATGATCTTATTGAAGACCAGGAAAAGTTTTTCTCCTTCTCTCTGGTTGAAAAAGATGTGTCCATAGTTTTGGATGAACAAACTTTACAAAGGTTAGTAGAATTGCTAATTAACAACAGGTCGATCAGAAAAAGAGGATGCCTCTATCCAACATTTTACGTTTGAGAAAAAATTAACTAATGATTCAGACAATATTATTTCTTAAATAACCCTATACATGCCAAAGTTTAACTCCTTTCATTTTAGTGCCATGTTAATTTCAAGTCTTGTTCAATACAGGTTGCACTGCCCTTCCAATTCATAGTAATTATACTAAGTGTAAGTTATCTATCAGCTGAAAGTCACTTTGTGGTCATAAATAAGTCAACAGGAAATTGCCTCCAATGATTTCCCAGTATTCAGAATGAAAAGGAAAGAAACCGCCTACAAAGAGCTGTGTCAGCGGATATTGATTTCAGGGGGAAATTGGGATTATTTTACTTATCCAACAAAAAGTTTAAAGTAGAATTGTGAAAAGGTAATTTTAATCATTTATCTTGTTGTTGTTGTATTTTAGATACTGATGCATAAAATGGAATCTTCTTGTTTTGTAAAGAAATACTTTTATTTGATGGGTTTTAAGACTGACTTTTACAGCTTTTTTATTTAACATTCTATTTTCAGATTTCCACCTAATACATTGTTTATTAATAATGAGTTTTGGAGAATGGTCAAAATAGGTGATATACCAGAAGGTTTGGGATTTGGTAAGTAGCAGTATGTTTTGTTGAGATAGGGTGCTTTACCTTCCCTTTAACCAACACTTCCAAAACAAGGCAGAATATTACCTCTTGTAATAAGAATATTTCACATTAATATACTGCCCGCGTTAATATTTAATACATGTGTGAGACAGCATAGCCCCTGTCCATGTAATTCTGGTGTTATTTATTTGCAGATGAATGTGGAATAGCAGCACAGATGTCAGAACCTATAGCTGATGCAAATATCTCAGAATATTATATTAGTACTTACTATTCAGATCAAATGCTGGTAGGTAGATCAGCTTTTTTAGAGGGAAAAGTGAAATGTGATTTAATTGTTACATGCACAATGAAGTCATCTTTAGTATTTCTTCATTGGGTTTATGCCTAATTTTTATTCCAGAAGTTCTGTAATTTCTTGCATATTTTTTCATTTTAATTTTACTTGACCTTATTACCTATGAGGATGGATTGTTTTGTAGTGTTATATGTTATCAAAATAACCTGCAGTCATCAACAGCCCATTTAACCCATATTACAGGTGCCAGAAAACAGACTAGAAGAGGTGCTTGAATTGCTTCATAGTCGACAAGTTCGTGTAGGTGCCGACTTACCTTCAGATTGACTGCCCTCTGCCACTGCGTTACTAGTAATACTGCATTACAGTAGTTATAAACTGTGCACAGTGGAACTCTTGAGGGGTTCACCCTTAAGGGTACTGGTCCTGTGTTTTATGGAGCCCACCAATTTATACAAAGTCTTTTTGCATACATTTTGTTTTAAGATTTCTCATTCAGTTGTCGTGGCAACAGCAGTTAAAATTTTTTAGAACAGTGATTTTTTAAAATATTTTAAATGAAATGCCGATATTATATGTCTTAAGCGAAAGGTTTTTTTTTTTTGAAGAGATTGCACCAGAGTAAAATAGTCAGCTATTGCCAGCTGGTGCTAGTAAAATAAACAGAATCTCCTAGTTTTATTTAAAAGGGACAGAAATAATGAACAAAATATACAAACTTGAGTTTCATGATGTTCAGTCTGTAGTGATCTGTTGTATATTGCTTCGTGACAGCTATTTGGTAAGCAATGACACTGTGCAGTGGTGATTTTAATTAAGTTATTCTTGTCACCTCATCAGTGCTACACAAAATACAAAAACTAGCTTCCCATATTTGCTTATTGCAGTTTTGATTGAATAAGCTCTCCAAGTTATGTTTCCTGAAATTAAATTACAAGTACCTCAGAAAAGTCGGAATGGCACCAGCATTACACGTAGGCAGTAGATATGCTATGTGATAATCAGTAGCTGGGAATTGGCACGTGCTGAAAATATAGAAGGCCTCTGCCATCTTTGGATACTGAAGGTTACCAACACAGAACTACAGTATAGATGGCTTCCGTCATCTTTTGATATTAAAGGTTACATTTCTGGTTATCACCAACATAGAACTACACTTTGTAGACGGTTTTTAAAAAATCCTCTAGTTGATCATTAGATGAACTTGTCAAAGATTAGTTTAACAATGAAAAAGGCACGTGCATGTGATTCTGTTGGCTAATTTCTCAACTATCTATAAGAATGTGAAGATGTAGATTTTGTTGGCTAATTTCTTAACTATCTATAATAATGCAAGGACATTTTCAGTCAAAGTCGGGTCAGGGATCTGTTCCACATAAGAACTTGAAGCTGTTTGAGTGAACCACTGCAGGTTTATTATGAAGTGGGAGAAAATGTTGATCTATAAATCAGACCCATTTTTTAGTGCAGAGTTCTTCTTTGGAATGGGTTCCAGTGGTTATGCATGTGCATATCGTCTTCCTAGAGGGATTTTCATTGTGAATGCTTCACCATACCACCACTTTTGGTTTATGTAAGGTTTTTACTGCTAACCTTTGTGTCATAATGTGCTCATTTGAACTCTTTACACTTGCATGATGCTACATAGAAAGTGATCTGGGGCAAATGTTTGCTCAGGTTTGCCTCCAAGGAATACATAGATTACAACAGCATTAAATTTATAAATTACAGAGAAACAATTACAGAAATTCTGTAGTGGAGTTGGGTTTAAAATGAGAGCCTCTGGTTGATTTTCTGGTGTAATTGAAATTAAAAGAATTTTTTTAAATTGTCAATTGACTGGTTTTTCAGTTAAAGATTGTGGAACTTGAGTGAAATAGTGAAGCAATCTTGGCCAATATGATGATTTTGCTCAACAATTTTACAGCAGTATTTGTTTTGAAGGTTGATAAATTGAAATGGATGCCATTTACATCTAGTAAGTGTTGAGTTATATTTGTGTCATTAAATCTGAACCATAAATTATACAAAGTTTGATAACATTGTATTTCCTATATCCTTCCATATACAGCTTAGTAATAGATGTCGTAACAGAATCAAGATGCCCACTTTTAGAAGTATTAGCCATAACTTTTACATATTTATTTTTCAACATTGACATCCAGTACTGAAGATGGAATAAAAATTAAAATGTTCACTTCAATGTTGGTTTTGTTTTTGAAATAAGATTTAAGTCTTCAGATTAAATTACAGTCTCGATTCTTACTTTAGGTAGAAAAAAACGCCTTTTTTGTAGTTTATCACATTGAGTTTAATGTAAAATATGCCAAGACTGTACACATCATGCCTTTGGCTAGAATTCATCATCAACAAGAAATACATAATTTCACATAAATATATGATAACAAAAATAAGCAAGCACACGGTAACTACAGTTACTCGTTACTCCAGTGCCATGACACTAGTTTTATAGTTCATATGTAAACTACCCTGTACCTGTTCATCTACATATTGGCATGAAGAAGATGCTATAAACCTAGATAACCTAGACCTAAAGGTGTGGGAGATAGTCCTCCACATCTTCAAAGCGCAATGTTGGCAACAAGAATGAACATGGAAGCTGCCAAGGCTCACGTTGTACACCCTGCCTATTATCTACTCCTAGATGTTCCAAACACTAAATTGTTAATGCAGCCTATTTTAGAGCAACACATGAAAAGTGAGTTGTACGATCACAGAGTATCCAACAGGGAATGGTAGATTTCCATTATAATTCCCTCTAGGAACAATTTAACTTAATATGCAATTATGTGTTATGAGAATTAAATTCAATGTTTGGAGCAAAAGCACCTTTAACAAACTGAAACAGTTGTAACAGCCAAGGCAAGGTTACATTAGAAGGACAATAATTTACAAATTCTACATTGTAATTTTTAAGTATCATTAAATAAACCTTATACATGTATGTAATGACTTGTTTAAAGAGCAATTTATTAGCAATCATATAATAATAATAATTTTATTACACCACCTTTATCTTATGACAGAATTAGACAAAGCCTGAGTTAAACTGCTACTGATGAAAATATCAACCCAACTTCTTAAACCATTAACAATAAGTATAAAATAAAAATTAATGTTGCTGATCAACAAAGCAGTATTGAAGGGAACTGCATTTTAAATAAAACACATTTTTATTGTTGAATGTGTCACATCAACTGTGTTCCACCTATGACCAGGGGAATCTCAGCAAGGGCAACAAATAGCAACCCATTTGTCACATTAAGGCTCCACTGACGGGCCTACTTTCTTTTTTATACTGAGAAGAAAGACCATTCATGGCATGAACCTTTAACAGACAAGCGCTCAGAGCAGTATCAGATCCAATCAACCTTTCAGAAAAAAGTATCTTCTCAAACTATGTGACACTATCCAATAAATATCACTTGTTTCTGAATACTGGCATCACCCTCCCTATGACATGTCATATCACAAAAAATGCCCTTGTTCATAAACTTTAGTCATTTTAGGAGAGTCTGTGGCGCCATCTGTGCCATTGTGTATTGCCGCCATTTTGTCCTGACTGTCCCCATTTGTGCCGTGGTCAACTTCATCTGCTCCCTCGACTATGGAAGGCTCTTCACTGCTAAGTCTTGAGCCTATGTGTCTGGTACGGGGGAACCTAAGGTGGAAAATTATACATAAACACATCACATATAAACATATATGTTTGTCAGGTAAGTGTTCATCTTTCCAGCCATTTTGGACCTACAAGTCTGAAATAGGGAAGGATAAGATATTAATCATATTCTTTATATCTTAATCATGTATTTATATAAATTAATGAACTACTCGGAGCCTGTTCATTTGTGGTTAAAAAATAATTTCTAAGCACCCTTTCTTAGATATTCAAAAATAAACACATGACAAAAACTTCAGGGCATTTTTAATCTTCATGCTTCAATACTTGGATGTCACACAACTAATAAGATCCAAAAATCAAACTCATCATGCTATATGGTAAATAAAATTCAAATATAAATTAATAAAAAGTATTATTATTATTAAATTAAATTAAGTAACTGAAAATGTAAGCGGGAAAGTTATCATTGGACAGATGATATTTGTTGAAATAAATAAATCTGAATATTCAAATAAATTAATATTTTTTTCAGAAAAAAATTCTTAAAGAGTTAAAAAGCATTTCTACAAGTAAAGGGGCATACTGGTTAAAAAGGCTGGATAATTATTTAAACAAAAAAGAAACAGGTCAAACAAATGATTTCAAGAGCCTAAATGGAACAAGGCAGCAAAGCTGTCAAATGTACAGACAAAAAGCAGGAAATAACTATGCACAAAATAGGCTACTGCCAATTCTGATGCAAAAGTACATAATGTTAAACTGCAAATTCAACATCAAATTTTAACAAGACAGCACTGTTCTGAAATGGGTTTATTTCCATTTTTAACACTTTTTTAACATANAACGGTGTCATTTGTTTGCATGCTGCATGTTAAATGTGTAGCTTGGCTTTAAATGGGTTATGATGTTATTGGAATGTTTACAAAGAAAGCAATTAGATGGTCTGAAAGTTCTTTACTGATGGAAAGCGGGGTCAGAATTTTTTTTCTTCGCTGTTGATAACAATGAATGGGATTTGCATTGACTTTTAGATTTTGAGAATTCTGTAAAGGTGGCACTTAACAGGATATGTGAATATTATATGTGTGTTTCTATAAAGCATAGTGAGTAGTGCAGGAAGGGACATCTGTAAGTGTGCTAGGTGAGACATTCAGTGTGTGAAAAAAGGTGTAAATATAATTTAGAATTTTATAGTTTGTCCCCATTGTGGAATTGAAAAGCCTGATTTATATGATGTATACTCTGTGTCTGTCTCAACTCTATTATTTGCAAACAGAACATTGAATTTAGAAAAACTAAAGGAGGCAATTTTTGTATCAGAATAGATTCAATTTTGTGATTGTTCAAAATTGAATTACAAAATATACATGAGAATCCAAGATTTAAAATAACTTTTGAAGTATACTCTCTTTGACTGAAATGAATAGATGATAAGTTTGTTTAGAACAACCTTTTGGTCAGTGTTTATATCCTGACTTTAAATGTAAAGTGATATCAGTAAGTTTTTTTCTGTTGCTGTCAGGGTTCAGCTAGGATTTTGATATAGCTAGTCCAAACTCATTTTTAACTGAGACGAGCTCTTCATGTTTCACATTGTTTAGTAATGAAAATCTGAAAAATAGCAATCTTTAGTTGAAATAAGAGTCCAAAAACAGGTAGACAGTTGCCGGGCTAATGTCAAGAAAAGAAATCCTTTTTTTTTACAATTCATCTGCTTGCTTGCAAAAATGCTTGAGTCTTATTTGTAGCTAAGCAGAGTGTTTCACGCCAGTGAAAACTAATGTTTTATTTGTAACCATTTACTCTTTTTATTTTGCTTTATTTAGGTCAAAGAAAAAGACATAGACAGGGTCATAGAAATTATGTCCAGTAAAGTCCAGATATTTAAACAGGTAGATGGAGAACATGTTCTTGTAGAGAAACCAGAACAAGTCAGTAATCATGAACATGTGGCCAAAGGTAATTCTGCCTATATACACAACAATTATCAGAAAATTTTATTACCATACACATGACAACATTTGATGAAATTAAAACAAATTTTATCTGTAAAAAATGACTATTACACTGAGCATTAAATTAATATTAGGCAAAATATATTGACTTTTTTTATGTCTTACCCTATATTTTCCCTTCAAGGAAAATTTTCTTTCAAAAAAGATTTTTTTTTCTATTTGATAGGAAGTCTTTATCTTTTTCCTACAGATCGACTTATCATCCACAAATTCAAGACACCAAAGAATAGATTTTTGCTCACAAGTATCAATCCTGATAGTTTGCATACAGTTGGAGTGGCTCTCATACAGAATATGTTTTACTCTGAGAGGTTGGTTCACTATATTTATTACAAGCAGAAATCATTCATTTTGTAGAATTCCTTTTCGTTATTGGAAAACTTGAATCTGGTGAAATGGATTAAAACTCCGATGTCTGCATATTATCGATTCTTTCTGGTCTTTTTTTGAGAAAAATCATGAAAGCGTTAAAGGCTCTCACATTGATTTTTGTTTGTAGCAACTTGTAATAAGAACATTGATGGTTTTTCATTTAGCAAGCACCTTGGTGTTATGCCTGATGATTTTGCTCTTTCAGCTGTAATGATCTTATTGAAGACCAGGAAAAGTTTTTCTCCTTCTCTCTGGTTGAAAAAGATGTGTCCATAGTTTTGGATGAACAAACTTTACAAAGGTTAGTAGAATTGCTAATTAACAACAGGCCGATCAGAAAAAGAGGATGCCCCTATCCAACATTTTACGTTTGAGGAAAAATTAACTAATGATTCAGACAATATTATTTCTAAATAACCCTATACATGCCAAAGTTTAACTCCTTTCATTTTAGTGCCATGTTAATTTCAAGTCTTGTTCAATACAGGTTGCACTGCCCTTCCAATTCATAGTAATTATACTAAGTGTAAGTTATCTATCAGCTGAAAGTCACTTTGTGGTCATAAATAAGTCAACAGGAAATTGCCTCCAATGATTTCCCAGTATTCATAATGAAAAGGAAAGAAACCGCCTACAAAGAGCTGTGTCAGCGGATATTGATTTCAGGGGGAAATTGGGATTATTTTACTTATCCAACAAAAAGTTTTAAGTAGAATTGTGAAAAGGTAATTTTAATCATTTATCTTTGTTGTTGTTGTATTTTAGATACTGATGCATAAAATGGAATCTTCTTGTTTTGTAAAGAAATACTTTTATTTGATGGGTTTTAAGACTGACTTTTACAGCTTTTTTAACATTCTATTTTCAGATTTCCACCTAATACATTGTTTATTAATAATGAGTTTTGGAGAATGGTCAAAATAGGTGATATACCAGAAGGTTTGGGATTTGGTAAGTAGAAGTATGTTTTGTTGAGATAGGGTGCTTTACCTTCCCTTTAACCAACACTTCACAAACAAAGCAGAATATTACCTCTTGTAATAAGAATATTTCACATTAATATACTGCCCGCTTTAATATTTAATACATGTGTGAGGCAGCATAGCCCCTGTCCATGTTATTCTGATGTTATTTATTTGCAGATGAATGTGGAATAGCAGCACAGATGTCAGAACCTATAGCTGATGCAAATATCTCAGAATATTATATTAGTACTTACTATTCAGATCAAATGCTGGTAGGTAAATCAGCTTTTTTTAGAGGGAAAAGTGAAAAAGGATTTAATTGTTATGTGCACAATGATGTCATATTTTGTATTTCTTCATTGGGTTTATGCCTAATTTTTATTCCAGAAGTTCTTTAATTTCTTGCATATTTTTTCATTTTAATTTTACTGGACCTTATAACCTATGAGGATGGATTGTTTTGTAATGTTATATGTTATCAAAATAACCTGCAGTCATCAACAGCCCATTTAACCCATATTACAGGTGCCAGAAAACAGACTAGAAGAGGTGCTTGAATTGCTTCATAGTCGACAAGTTCGTGTCGGTGCCGACTTACCTTCAGATTGACTGCCCTCTTCTACTGCGTTACTAGTAATACTGCATTACAGTAGTTATAAACTGTGCACAGTGGAACTCTTGAGGGGTTCACCCTTAAGGGTACTGGTCCTGTGTTTTATGGAACCCACCAATTTATACAAAGCCTTTTTGCATACATTTTGTTTTAAGATTTCTCATTCAGTTGTCATGGCAACAGCAGTTTAAATTTTTTAGAGCAATGATTTTTTAAAATATTTTAAATGAAATGCCGATATTATATGTCTTAAGCGAAAGGTTTTTTTTTTTTTGAAGAGATTGCACCAGATTAAAAGAGTCAGCTATTGCCAGCTGGTGCTAGTAAAATAAACAGAATCTCCTAGTTTTATTTAAAAGGGACAGAAATAATGAACAAAATATACAAACTTTAGTTTCATGATGTTCAGTCTGTAGTGATCTGTTGTATATTGCTTCGTGACAGCTATTTGGTAAGCAATGACACTGTGCAGTGGTGATTTTAATTAAGTTATTCTCGTCACCTCATCAGTGCTACACAAAATACAAAAACCAGCTTCCCATCTTTGCTTATTGCAGATTTGATTGAATAAGCTCACCAAGTTATGTTTCCTGAAATTAAATTACAAGTAACTCAGAAATGTGAAGTCAGAATGGCACCAGCATTACACGTAGGCAGTAGATATGCTATGTGATAATCTGTAGCTGGGAATTGGCACGTGCTGAAAATATAGAAGGCCTCTGCCATCTTTTGATACTATAGGTTATATTTCTGGTTACCAACATAGAACTACAGTATAGATGGCTTCCGTCATCATTTAATAGTAAAGGTTACATTTCTGGTTATCACCAACATAGAACTACACTTTGTGGACAGATTTTAAAAAATCCTCTAGTTGATCATTAGATGAGCTTGTCAAAGATTAGTTAAACAATGAAAAAGGCACATGCATGTGATTCTGTTGGCTAATTCCTCAACTAGCTATGAGAATGTGAAGATGTAGATTTTTTTGGCTAATTTCTTAACTATCTATAAGCCAGGTCAGGGATCTGTTCCATACAAGAACTTGAAACTGTTTGAGTGAACTACTGCAGGTATATTATGAAGTGGGAGAAAATGTTGATCTAAAAATCAGACCCATTTTTTAGTGCAGAGTTTTTTGGAATGGGTTCCAGTGGTTATGCATGTGCATATCGTCTTCCTAGAGGGATTTTCATTGTGAATGCTTCACCATACCACCACTCTTGGTTTATGTAAGGTTTTTACTGCTAACCTTTGTGTCATAATGTGCTCATTTGAACTCTTTACACTTGCATGATGCTACATAGAAAGTGATCTGGGGCAAATGCTTGCTCAGATTTGCCTCCAAGGAAGACATAGATTACAACAGCATTAAATTTATAAATTACAGAGAAACAATTACAGAATTTCTGTAGTGGAGTTGGGTTTAAAATTAGAGCCTCTGGTTGATTTTCTGGTGTAATTGAAATTAAAAGAATTTTTTTAAATTGTCAATTGACTGGTTTTTCAGTTAAAGATTGTGGAACTTGAGTGAAATAGTGAAGCAATCTTGGCCAATATGATGATTTTGCTCAACAATTTTACAGCAGTATTTGTTTTGAAGGTTGATAAATTGAAATGGATGCCATTTACATCTAGTAAGTGTTGAGTTATATTTGTGTCATTAAATCTGAACCATAAATTATACAAAGTTTGATAACATTGTATTTCCTATATCCTTCCATATACAGCTTAGAAATAGATGTCGTAACAGAATCAAGATCCCCACTTTTAGAAGTATTAGCCATAACTTTTACATATTTATTTTTCAACATTGACATCCAGTACTGAAGATGGAATAAAAATTATAATGTTCACTTCAATGTTGGTTTTGTTTTAGAAATAAGATTTAAGTTTTCAGATTAAATAACAGTCTCGATTCTTACTTTAGGTAGAAAAAAAAAACGCCATTTTTGTAGTTTATCACATTGAGTTTAATGTAAAATATGCCAAGACTGTACACATCATGCCTTTGGCTAGAATTCATCATCAACAAGAAATACATAATTTCACATAAATATATGATAACAAAAATAAGCAAGCACACGGTAACCACAGTTACTCGTTACTCCAGTGCCATGACACTAGTTTTATAGTTCATATGTAAACTACCCTGTACCTGTTCATCTACATATTGGCATGAAGAAGATACTATAAACCTAGATAACCTAGACCTAAAGGTGTGGGTGATAGTCCTCCACATCTTCAAAGCACAATGTTGGCAACAAGAATGAACTTGGAAGCTGCCAAGGTTCACGTTGTACACCCTGCCTATTACGTATCTACTCCTAGATGTTCCAAACACTAAATTGTTAATGCAGCCTATTTTAGAGCAACACATGAAAAGTGAGTTGTACGATCACAGAGTATCCAACAGGGAATGGTAGATTTCCATTATAATTCCCTCTAGTAACAATTTAACTTAATATGCAATTATGTGTTATGAGAATTAAATTCAATGTTTGGAGCAAAAGCACCTTTAACAAACTGAAACAGTTGTAACAGCCAAGGCAAGGTTACATTAGAAGGACAATAATTTACAAATTCTACATTGTAATTTTTAAGTATCATTAAATAAACCTTATACATGTATGTAATGACTTGTTTAAAGAGCAATTTATTAGCAATCATATAATAATAATAATTTTATTACACCACCTTTATCTTATGACAGAATTAGACAAAGCCTGAGTTTAAACTGCTACTGATGAAAATATCAACCCAACTTCTTAAACCATTAACAATAAGTATAAAATAAAAATTAATGTTGCTGATCAACAAAGCAGTATTGAAGGGAACTGCATTTTAAATAATACACATTTTTATTGTTGAATGTGTCACATCAACTGTGTTCCACCTATGACCAGGGGAATCTCAGCAAGGGCAACAAATAGCAACCCATTTGTCACATTAAGGCTCCACTGACGGGCCTACTTTCTTTTTTATACTGAGGAGAAGAAAGACCATTCATGGCATGAACCTTTAACAGACAAGCGCTCAGAGCAGTATCAGATCCAATCAACCTTTCAGAAAAAAGTATCTTCTCAAACTATGTGACACTATCCAATAAATGTCACTTGTTTCTGAATACTGGCATCACCCTCCCTATGTTTGTCATATCACAAAAAATGCCCTTGTTCATAAACTTTAGTCATTTTAGGAGAGTCTGTGGCGCCATCTGTGCCATTGTGTATTGCCGCCATATTGTCTTGCCTGTCCCCATTTGTGCCGTGGTCAACTTCGTCTGCTCCCTCGACTATGGAAGGCTCTTCACTGCTAAGTCTCGAGCCTATGTGTCTGGTACGGGGGAACCTAAGGTGGAAAATAATATGTAAACACATCACATATAAGTATATATTTTTGTCAGGCAAGTGTTTATCTTTCCAGCCATTTTGGACCTACAAGTCTGAAATAGGGAAGGATAAGATATTAATCATATTCTTTATATCTTAATCATGTATTTATATAAATTAATGAACTACTCGGAGCCTGTTCATTTGTGGTTAAAAAATAATTTCTAAGCACCCTTTCTTAGATATTCAAAAATAAACACATGGCAAAAACTTCAGGGCATTTTTAATCTTCATGCTTCAATACTTGGATGTCACACAACTAATAAGATCCAAAAATCAAACTCATGCTATATGGTAAATAAAATTCGAATATTAAATTAATAAAAAGTATTAATATTATTAAATTAAATTAAGTAACTGAAAATGTAAGCGGAAAAGTTATCATTGGACAGATGATATTTGTTAAAATAAATAAATCTGAATATTCAAATAAATTAATATTTTTTTCAGAAAAAAATTCTTAAAGAGTTAAAAAGCATTTCTACAAGTAAAGGGGCATACTGGTTAAAAAGGCTGGATAATTATTTAAAAAAGAAACAGGTCAAACAAATGATTTCAAGAGCCTAAATGGAAAAATAAAAATTATAAGTGTAAAAGAGCCATTCCATCAAAAGTGGTTCACATTTGGGAGAAATTTGAAAATAACCATATTGGAAATTTAAAAAAAAAAAATTTTAACTGATCGAATATTATGAACATAATAATAATAGCCACGATCGATTATTAACATAATTAAAATTTTATTTAGTGTTTTTTTTGGATTTTTACCTACAACCACTTAGTCTTTAATATGCCCACTAGTTGATGAAAAACTTAACCCCATAGGACCACTTAGTCATGAATAGCTCAAGATGAAAGGGAAAATTCCTTATAATAATATTATTAATAAAAATAGTAAGATTAAACAACACTGAGAATATCTACAAAAGGAAAATAGTGATTGAAGTCTCTTTTTAAAATAAGCAATTTCACTTGAAAGTTCTTTATAAAAAGCATGGAGATTGTAAATAAATAACTCCCAACCTATACATTTTAGAAGAATAATAAAAACATGAGCGTATCTATATCAGTTAATATAGGAGAAAAGATATCCATGTGTGTCAATCCTGTGAGGCAAGTGACTGTTTTCTTTCAAGGACCTCTAAAATGTTCTAAAAAACCCTCATCTTCCATACTTTTTTCCTAACCAAAAGATTTTCCATAATAATAAATAATTTGATTTAACCATAAAAAGCTAACTACAACCCTCCCTACCCCCTTTCCAAAAATGAACATGGTCCAATTTTACTTTTTTTTTTTAAACATAAAACCTTATACAGTCACCATTGCCCAGACTGGCGTACACACAGTGAAGTCTACTTACAAACCAAGAAGCCAAAGAGACCACTGCAGTTCTACAGTTGAGATGTGCATGCTGAGGAGTCACAGCAAATCAAAGTGCAGTCAAGGTGCAGTGCACATCAAAAACTGGTAAAACTCACGGCCATACCTACTGTGTCCATCTACATCCGAGCCGTCTGTGCCCGCAGACAGCCTATGAGAGGGCGTGTACTCCAAGCTGCTTATACTACCACTCCCGCTCCGGTTCAGGGGCTGATGGCGGTGGTTCACCAAGAATGTGTCAATGTCTATGGAGGAATCTGAGTCTTCACCATCATCTTCTCCATCACTAAAATGTGAAATAATGTTTTCATTGAAAAATATCAACTTAGCTTGATCATTAAATTAAATTTTTTACCCTTTTCATGAAACTGAAACCATACCCCACAAAGCTTTTTCAATATCAACAGACTAAACAGACAAAGCATTAGCAACTTTTATACAACTCACAGGACACAAGACACAACTGTAGTACGTTATTCACTTGCCATGTTACTTAAAACATTCAACAGTAGTGTCTTCCTCACCTGGTACTATATATCAGTTTCTTACCTGTCTGAGATATCACTGTCACTGTCTATTTCATCTTCTATGGCGGCCTGCAGGTCTGCTATCCTCTTGAAGGCAAGTTTCAGATCAGATTGGTGCTGCTCACTGTCTGCTTCTAAGTTTTCAACTTTCACTTCCTGTAAAATTATTCAAAGTAAATCAATACATAAATTCTTCAGAATCCTCACGGAAATGTCTTCGGTAAAATCATTAGCCAAAACCACCGAGTAAATAAGAATCCAAACCAATTTCAGATTTTTCTTCCATGTATTCACAACCACCACCACATTACTTACTAATTCGGTTTTCTTCTGACTAGCTTCCAACTCTCGTTTCTGCACGTCTCCAAACTCTTCCCGTAGGTCTCTGAGCTGCCGCTGACTTCTCTTGGCATTCTCTTGGGCAGCCTGCTCCTTGGCCTGAAGGTTATCTTTTTCTGTGGTAAGTTTTTCTACATCGGCTTTCAACTTAGTTGTGCTTGCCTGTAGTGAAAAGATAATAATATTTTTTGACATCTTAAAAATACAGATGAAATAAAGACCAAATTTTAACTCCTGCTAGAAATAAATAAGCAAACTGTTAACTGAATTCATCCACATAACCTGCTCTAACTGCTGTTGGAAAAAATAAGACACCATTCTTAAACAGACAATTCTATAAAATTTAGGTACATCACAGATTATTCCATGGGAATGCTGAATTTCAAATCTTTCCCACTGACCTCTAGTCTTTGCCTTGTAGCCAGCTCCAGGTCAAGTCTGGACTCCAGTTCTCTGCATTTGGACTCCAGGCGGATCACCACTTGTTTATCTACATAGTTTGTTTCTAAATATTCTACTTTACTTTGTAATAAGGAATTCTGAAATAATGAAAAACACTTAGTAAATAAAGGAATATACTTGCTCATAGAGAAATGACTAGACACTTTATTGTACAGTAATGATATAACTTTCAATGTTTCCCATACTTTACTTCTAATACAAGAAACATGCACAAAACCAAATCCTCAATCCAGTTTTGACCAGATATACACCCTTTTAGGTTAGATTAACACAGACATACATCTGCAGTATATAACATAGTTACCTGTTCTCTTAGCATTTCTCTTTCTTGCTGCAATTCCTCTAACCGCGTAGATTGTTCTGTAAGATTTATTTGGTCAACCGATTGCTGAAAATAAAATGAGAACCTTGAGTTATAATTAACATGGAACTAATTTTCTGACTCCAGATACATTCATACTAATATGAAAACCAAGTCCCCTTATTAATTCTATGACAGACAATAAAAGCCGAGCACAAAAACAGACCCATACACACATGCATGCAGCACATGGCAAACATCTTTATTCAAACCCTAATGAAAGAGGTCTATTATAGTAGTTATCACCCTGTATAATTACATCAGTCACATGTTAACTTTATTTACCTGCTGTACTACATTTTTGTATTTCCTCATCAATTCATTCATTTCTTCTTCCAAGTCTTCTAGCTGAGTTTGTAGCTCAGTCTTGTCTCTGGAGAGTGAAAGGCACCTGTCTTCTGCCTGGGAAAACCAGGAATTAAGAATATAATTAATACCTACAAACAAGTGGTTACTAACTCCTTTATTAAACCAGCTGTCAATATAGATTTGAGCAAATCAATATTGAGTGTAGTGACGGAGAAAATATAATTATCAAATGAACAGAAATAACACAGTCACCAATTTGACAAAATTAATGTATAAAATGGCACTTATGCAACTGCAAGTGTCACAATGGCAATCAACTATACAAAAAATGAATGATATTCTTATCAATATGATGCTGTAGAAATATCAATATGACGCTGTAGAAATACTAGAGGTTCAACCTTACAATTTTTCAAGTCTCTTCATAAAAACATTTATGTTTTAAATGAACCGCATTCAGAGATAATGAAATAATTTTCTCAATAATCATATTCTTACATCTGACTTATTTCTCGTCATGTCCTCTAACTGCTGTTGGAGGTCCTGCTGTTCTAGCTCAATACCTTTCCTGGCTTTGATAGCTGCTGATGTGGCAAATTCTGCATCCTCCAGCTAAAACAATACAGAAAACCAACAATGTACAATAATGTGTGGGTATGACTAAAGTACATAAACAAATGTACCTTAAGTCATTTTAAATAAAAATGGAAAAAAATAAATAATACACCATTTAAATTAATAATCACATATGAAGACCCTGGTACTAAACATACCTAGCTGATGCACTTATTCAGTTCATAAATAAGTGTGTAATGTATGTAAGTAAATAGACTCCACTGTCCACTGTTCTTTAAAAGTTTCAATAAATCATATAACAGTCTTGAACAGGCATGTTATGTTATAGTTGACACAAGTGCTGGTTTGTTTCTGGTACTCATCCCTGAGTTGTTTAACTGATGCTTTTGGGGTGCTTACCTTATCCCTGAGTTGTTTAACTGAGGCTTTTGAGGCAGCCCCTTCTTTGCTCTTCTCTAACATTGTCTGAGCATCCTTTAGCAGAGCCTTTGTCTTTTTAAGACCTTTCCTTAATCTCTTTTCAGTTTCTGAAGACAAAATATTCACGGATTGCAGTTTATCTCAGGCATGAGTGCATTATTTATGGGTGCAATCGGAATTTTTATCTTAAAATTTACCAAATTAACTTTTAAGATGCATCACTAAACAGCAGGCCAGGGATGTCACTGACAGTAAATCTAAAACTAACAATGACAGAGGCTTTTTTCCTAATTTACTTGAACCAAATTATCCAAGGCAAATCTTATTCATCTATTACGGCCAATCACATTTTCCATGACAGCTAAGTGCATCCAATCATATATTCTGTGACAACTTAAGCGTCTATTTGGCCTACCTTTGTCTCTTTTGGGTGCTTTCTCTGCCACCTCCTGCAACTGCCTTTCCAGCTCTCTCTTTTCTCGTAAAGCTTTTTGCTTTTCTTCATACTCGTCCTCTACCTGCACCTCAAGCTGTCGAACCTGTTGGCAATGGAAATTGGACTTGACTTTTATTGCTGCTAGTAATTTTTGATTAGGAACTGCAACTGTTAAGTGTATTTGAGTGATTCGTTAAAATTTTTAGGGGATAAGGATATGAGGCCTTTCAAATAATGACATGCTCAGAACGCCTTATGCTTCTGTCAACTACACGTTATCTTTTTGTTGACAAATCAACAGATTCTTATTTCATGATTAAATCAAGAGCTGACAAAAAATACTGGCACACAGTTCCTAACCCCTAAATTACCTTTTTCTGAGTGGATGACCTCATTTCCTCCAGCTCGATCTCCTTCTCCTCCATCTCCTTCTGATACTGCTGCCTCAGTTTCTGCTGGTTCATTTCCAGACGCAGCTTGGCCTAGCAGGAGCAATGACACGACAATTAATGTTCATATTCAGAATAATACAGTTTATTCTAGCAAGGGATTTTGTCAGCTGTGTTACATATGCACTCAGGATTGCAATAAGAAATAAAATATTAGAGTGGTAATAACACTGAATTCATCTGTTGTTTGAAAAATATATTATTTTAACTGTTTATTCTACTTTCTTCCATTCCATTCTCCCTTCACCATACTACAAATTGCTGTCCCAAGTTGAAACCTCCCACCAGTTGTCAGAAATATGATAATTGCCTGAAATCAGACTTCACCATCTTGTTTTCACACTACTTTATTTAATCTGTGCTTCAATCATACATTCATATAAAAAAATACAATTTCCCTTCCGGCTTTCTATTCTATTTCATGTTCAGAGTTAACAAAAATAATGTCTTTCTTACAAGCACTTTGTGTGCAGAAAGTCATTTGTCTACCACAGCTGTGCTACATGCTTTATACTGTACTTAATGACTGAGACAATGATCTAAATTGCCACCCTTTTTATTTTTTTCAATCACTTGCTATGGGAACATGCTTTGTTTCATTAACAAACACTGACCCGGGGTCACTCATCTAATGGACAAACTAACTGTTAAATACAGGCTGTATTGTTACCTGCCATATCATTAATATGACATTAGTTGCACCTGTTAGTTTTGCACCTAAATTACATTACGGGGATTGTACTGTATTCTACAGGTAAAACCTGTCATCATACCTGTTCTAGTTGCTGGATGGTGCCAGCCTGTTCATCTAACTCCTCCTCCTGATCCTTGGTCTTCAGTTCCAATTCCATCTTGGCACGTTTTAGGTTCATGATCTGGAAGGAAAAAAACAAAATTTACCGGTTTTCAACTAAACATTCACATTATAAGTTTTTATGAAGAGAGTTTGGGAAAGAGTTTACATCGGGTACATTTTGAAACCAGGTTATGGTCATTGTATTAATTATATGTACACAACCTTTTTTCTATACATGAATAATTTTTCATATGAATTCTTTTTTTGCTGTTTAGTAAATACGATAGCTGATAATTGTAATTAAAATGGCAGTTGAAATGAAAATTTCATAGCCTTGCCTCAACATCATCCTTAGTTCCCAAACTAGACAAGTCTCTCAACTCTCGCTCCAGTCGGTCTACTTTCTCGTTCTGTAGTTCAAACTCCATCTTCAAGTTCTGAAAAGATGAAATGTACTACATTAACATCAAGTTAAAAAAAAAGGTTAAAATATGTCAACCTAATAAAAATTAAGCAAATGATGAAATCAGCTTCATTTCACCTTGCTAATTTCTACCTGCCTTACCCATGTCATCTAATATTTGTGTTTTTACTAAGAAGCTTTCCAAACTTGGCCAGGTCTCAGAAGTCACTTAAAGCCTATGTTACAGTATTGGTATGACATTGCACCCAAGTAGCTTCAGTCCCAAAGAAGTCTAAAAGAATCCCACCTGTTTAAGGTCATATTCTGCTTGAACCCAACACTTGAAGTCACTGCATCTTGGTTAAAGTCAAGCTATTCTAGCAGGGGTAATATGTTATGTTTCCTCCAATATTTCTTACCACACAATGTCTACTTGCTTAAGCTCTGCTGGACAACAATACTACTGAATTAACGAATCAATGAAACGAGAAAAGTGTCATTGTGCCTGTTTAATCTTTGATAACTACATTGATTTTGCTTCCGCACAATCAATTTCCTTTGAAGTTTCCTGCTTAATTGTTGTTCCGTCATAAATCATTATATAAACAGTAAGACGCAAACAAACGTAAAACTCTCAGGTGATAAAATTACACCCTGTCTTTTCAATCTAGGACCACTAAAGATGTGTGAGAATTTCCTTTTTTGGAGAGAAACCAGAATCTGGCAAGTTTTTAAAGAGGCATTTGAACGCTCAATTGATACTTCACAAAATAGGTTAAGTGTCAAGTGTCTCTGTGAATGTCATGCCTTCATTTTGAATGAGAGGAGAGACCCAGTTCCTAGTTCTGTTAATAAGCTGAAATAATACAGGTAATACAGGTGACACCAGACGTCAATGAGCCAGACAAGAAAGTGTAGGAGACATGTAGAAAACAGCAGATGAGACGCGATTACGGATCTGTCAATGGAGTTATGGTGCAGAATGCCTGACATGTGCAATCTGATGTGCCATATCAAAAGGGAAATCATCCTAAGTCCCTCTATCTGCCATCTCCTCCATTGAGACACTTACTGCCCCCTTGGACGACCTTTCATACCTCATCCTACATCAATTGTAACATCAATTGTCACAAATACTTCAAGTGCTGGAGCATATCTTATTCAAGTTTACATACATGTGGGATATCATGGGGTTTTTATGTGTGTCAACACTCAGCTATTCACAGCTTTGATTTCACTGTGTGGTTAGTGGTTAATTCTATTAGCTAGTGTTAAAGAATGGCTGCATCACTCTTTGGCATTCGATAGAACTACACAGCCAGCCAATACCAAACATGGGCACCATATTCCTGCATGGTATTATATCACTGAGATGTTGGCCTAGTGTCCTCAAATTCAGCAACTCATTTATTACTTTCTTTAATGCCTTTCACGCTCCAGGACAATTGGTCACTGTTGCTGACCAATAAACACAAGAGCCGTGTCCAGATACTATCTCCAGGTCATGGGGCTGACCCCATCTTGGTCTACTTAACGTCTCACTTACTGAGGATGAATGGCTAGTGCCCTTCTACATGTGTGTGCCTCAGAGCAATAAACCCTGTGTCTGTGTGGAATGTCTCATGAGATGATGTGAGGAGTAATGTGTTGTAAGATGAGGTGTTGTCTGGGTTCACTTTGTCGGTGAAGCTTAAGTACAAATTTATTTACATTCCACAGACAACCATCTGCATGGGTGTCACAGAATTCCGTTGGTGTCAGAGAAAATTTACAGGGAAACGTGCATTAACTGCACAGAGTTGCATTATTTTAGTCTAAAAGGGAGTAAAACCTTCCCATGTATATCCCTCATTTCAAATTTTTAACTTAAAACTTCTTTGTATCCACAGTTTAGTAAATGTGCAGTATACATAATGAAAACAGTTCAGAATTGAGACAGGGCATGGTAGGAACAATTAGAGAGATGAAAAAAGTAACTGTTCTTTATGCTAATAAATTCAAATCCTGGTTACGAGCATCAGCAGAAGCCTTTGCACTAAATAATACATGTATAACCAAAACTCAGGTTTAAGGTGTAAGCCACAAGAATGTATTTATAAATTACTTTATACCCATTAAACCTCACTTCAACAAACTTTCCATACACATAAGTGGACATTTCACAACTTGAGGCTACTCTCCAGATAAGAAGATACAATGACCACTGAATTGACCATAACACCTTGACCACATGCTAACCACAATAATCTGCCCCCTCTCCCCAACTCCCATATACAGTGTGACCAATCAGGCAGAAAAATCAATAGAACCAGCTAAGAGTAACATTCTGGGACCAGTGCTTGCCTTGTGTACAATGGCCAGGAATGTTGATCTCCAAGATAAACTCTACATCAATGGAATCAAAGCTAGAAGTTATAGCTGAAGTTATGGCCTGTTTTAATATTGAAAACTTTGGGAGCTTTGGTGGAAGAGGGATGAGGGGATGTTGAATGCTTTAACCTCCTGGATAGAAAATGTAGAGAGAACATACATAAACAGATATAAAAAAGAGATCAAACCTGTTTTATCATCATCTATATGACAAAATAGGAAAGTATAAAAAAAGCTCCCTCTGCATGGAGAAAAATAGTGATGGCATCTTTTCTAAGTCGATTGAAAAGCACTGGCTGTATTCAGAGCTTTCAGATCAGCCTTTCACTGAAGATTTCCATTAATTTCCCAGCATGATGCCCTGATGTAGCCTGCGTATCCTGTATCTATCTCCACACCCTGACACTCCTATTGTAAACCATGTCACAGAAAGGAGAACAAGTGATTCATTATCCCATGGAAAATGATATATTACTTTCAAAAAGGCCTAAATTAAAAGACACGTGGATCTTCATGTCGATGATATTCAGTTACAACCAAAAACTACTAGTACACACCTCTTAAGAAGTGCTGTATGAACCTAATGATCAGTAGATTAAGTGCAATTTTACATACTTATTAAATGTATTGAACCCATGCAGTAATCCCCCTACCTCTCTATACAACTCTTCCTGTGAGCTGTACTGGGGCAAACACTCTGTGGTCATCATGCTGTCCAATACTGAGAGTGACCAGTTAATTAAAGTGTGCCTTGTGTGTCTTCTTTCCTATAGTCTAATACGAAACAAATAATACTGCAGAAGTTTATGCCATTCACTGATGACCTTCACACAGTATTAAATAGGTTAAATGAAGTAATCCTGTGCAGAGACAGCCTGTGGTCAACTCCTCTCTGTCCACTAGCTGGTCAAGCACCTGGTCAAACAGCTGGTCAAACGCCAGGCAATCTGTCAGAGCTATAACCCAGTCCTTCCTGTGTCCAATATTCTCCTAGCCATCCACTGTGACATGTAAATTGTAGGTCTTTAAAGTCCACCTTCACTAAGCTCTACCTGGCCACTGCTATTATTTAATCCAGGTGGAAATGACAGGAGATAAGCAGGGCCACTCACTGACTGACCCTAGGTCCTGAGGAACAAAAGTAACCCAGCATGGAGACTAAAACCAGAGAACAGTAACACAACCTGTGTTCTTATATGAACTGAGTCAGAGCTCTGTGAACCCCTCCCCTGCTGCTTGCTATAGCCAGGTTGTAGTACAGAGTGAAGAATGAAATGAAATGCTGCTATGACATGCTAAACTCTCCTCTACACAACCAGGCTGGGCTGCTCACACAGGACTGTCATTATGAACTGATAGTATCTCTGTAGACATGGATCACTGTCAGGTGGGAGAGGAAGGCACTCTGAGTGCTGGAACTCATGAGATGTCATTACTTAGAGAGGGACGTAGAGGGGGGGGGGGCATGAGATGTCATTACTTGGAGACGGACGGGGAAGGGGGGGGAAGACCTGAGATGTCATCACTTAGAGAGGGACGATGGAAGGGGGGGGGGCATGAGATGTTATTACTTAGAGGGATGCTGGAGGGGGGGGAAGACTTTTACTGCTGGAATTCAAGAGACGTCATTACTTAGAAAGGGATTGGGGGGGGGGGGAAGAAGACAGATTTTCAAGTTTACATAGGTATCTATTTTTTTCTGTCAAAAGATGGTCAAAAATGGAAGATGGATCAACAAAGATAATTTGGAAGACTGTCAGAAACTATCTCTGTATCTGCCCCTGATCATGGCACTGATACTACATACATAAACTTTAAACTGAACAGAGAAGCAAGATGAAAAGATGTCCAATTTCAACCATTATCAACGACAGCCAAATATATGATTTTAGTGACATAATTGTACTCTCTTTGGCTTGTTTCCCACCCATTTCTAACGCCTCATTTAGAATGATGCTAAATACTCCAGGAAAGGACTGAGAAACTGAATTTGGTAGCATGTAAAAGTGTGATCTGGCATACATTAATCTTAACTCCTACACACAATGTCTTTATGATGTAAACCTTCCAGTATTTAAAAAAGCAGGGTACAAGTCACTTGTGTAAAACTCTCCATTAATCCCATACTGGTTTTGCCTGTAATACTTTTCCTTTAATGTCCAATATTAAATTCAAAGCAGTTCGGCTATAACTGCTTTCTAATTCTTCTTAATTTCCATGGACTTAATGCAAACATCCATGTTAATCCAAGAACATGTCAGTGCAATAATCCTACTAGTATTACCTGTGATTTGAGTCTTTTCACCTGTGTCTAACCTGCCTGACTATAGCTCCTTGACCAGTGTCCGGTCTGTCCATACTCCCCCTGTGTTCAGCCACTCTCTGGACTCCACCATATCCCTATGTGTATGTGTGTACAGACCATCCAAACCAAGTCAAATATTAGCTCTCAGCTGTACACAGGGCAGACAAACATGCCATTAGCAAGCAGTACTTGATGTAACTTCTCTATAGAAAAACCTGTTTCAAAAGCTGGCCTTTTCTTTTTATGACTGCTGCATGGCTTTATTATCTAAAGGTAAACTTTGCCAGAGACCCAGCTAAGTCTTTCAGTAAACTGGTTTTGGTGAAATGAAAAATATGACCATGAAATAAACATCAACTTGATACACCATGTCAACAGAAAATCAGCTTTTATGGATATTTGTCAATAACAGTAACACATTGTAAGACACATTGTGTGGCATTTCAGTGTCAGAATTGCCATCACAATATCTTAAACATACTTCAAAACTTTAATCAAAACTATGTAGTTCTGGTTAAAAATATGTACCTTGCCATGTACTTTTAAGTGATCATCTGTCCTTAATGACATCTTACTTGACACAAAAGTAATAATGCTTAATGTAAAACTTGCAGTTGATAAAGTGACTTGAGAAATCACATCTTAAAGCAGAAATAAACATTAACTTGGAGCATTGTGTGGGGTTATCTACATTTGTAGCTTACAAAAGCATTATCACCTTTTCATGATATCAAATCCCACTAAAGTTAGTGCCTCGATATGTTTCTTTACTGAGTATTTAATCTGAATCTTTTCAGCACAGTAGCCATTGAAAGAGAAATTTTCTTCAAAATAAAACAGCCAATTCACAAGAAATTCCCTGATATATACAACTAGGAGCAGAAGACTTACTGAATAAGCAGCGTTATATATATCCATGAGGTGAAGTTCAAAAACTGCCACAAAATAAGTAAATTCCCAGGAACCTCCTCAGCATAAATGTCAAAGCCTTGACCATGTGTCCTTTCACAACTGTTTACAGAAGTGGCAAGAAAACACAGTGACAGCAGACTTCAAGTTTTCTTCCTCTGGGTAAAAGCAGCTAGGAATCTGCACAGAAGTCACAGTTCTGTTCCCTGCTTGGGTGATCACACTTACACACACACAGCAGCCTAGGTGATTATGGGTACACCGATTGTCTGTAAACTACCCTAAATGAGGGTCCTTCTTTTCAATGCCCGCTGTAACACTAGCTCTGTGCATAGAGCGCCAAATTACAGCCTCTTGATCGCACACCTCAATTGATTTGAAAAGCTCTGGCATGCGAAGGTCCTGGCCTTTGATCACATTCTAATGTAAATAACCACACAATAGCCGCTTAACTCACCCCCCTTTAGAAACTACTTGAGCGCACACTGTGAATACGGAGGGAGCACATGCTGTGTATTGAGGGTCCCTGCTACTGCAATTCTATGGGAGGTCTGTTGATCTAACATGTCTAGCTTTTTATGTCAGGTGTTCAGCTGCGACAGAAAACTTACTGAGGCAGGGTGTATTTTCCCACAAAAGGAGCACCAATGGGGTGGACCTGGAGGAATAATGGGTGGCAGGGAACGGTGTAAAACACGGCCCTATCCTGTAGGTGTGATACCTGTCCCTGATTTATACCTATCCCTGGGCTATCATTATATCTGGCAGGGCATCATTTGAGTTCAAAGTTGATAACACTTACATTTTGACAAAACATTTGGATGATTTACTCATAACCAGTGTTTTACCCTATTATCAAGTAGTTATTGTAAAAGGCATTTATGAACTGAAAGTGTCTAAAGACTTTCTGTAATTCAAACTCTAACAAAGCATCTATTGTAATAAGAGGTGTGTGTGTGTGTGTGTGGAGATTCCTGGACAGATGTCATTATACCTGCTATATGTCTGTTTCACAAAAGAAACTCAAACTGAAAGTTAGAATAGTCTTAATATTATGTTTCCTTTGACCCAACTGAAAGTTAGAATAGTCTTAATATTATGTTTCCTTTGACCCAACTGAAAGTTAGAATAGTCTTAATATTATGTTTCCTTTGACCCAACTGAAAGTTAGAATAGTCTTAATATTATGTTTCCTTTGACCCAAGAGAAATCAGTAGTGGTTTAACTATAAGAAATATTGTACCCGTTTTATAAAAAGAATAAACTGAGCATTAATCTTAGAATGAATTATACCACCATTTGTCTTTGAAAAGTTACGACCAACCTCCTTTCATGACATTGGTGCCAGACCATTATGAGACAGTTATGCAATGTGTAGATGACTTATCAGTTGTTGGACTGTAGGTTATGTCATGAAATGTCTGCTTCATTCAATGTGACATAATCTACCATGTCAGACCTACATACAATAGATCTTAGAGCCCTTGGAATGTCAAAAAGCAACAACATTTTGGGCTTAGCATCAATCCTGCCATCTAGTGAGTGAAAGAAAACAAATACAAATAGCCATTTGATACACTACAATGATTCCAATTTCATGCTCTCACTTAAGCTGAAGTAGACAAGGACCTAGTTTTCCCCAGATACAATAACCTGATAAGGCAGGCCCAGGGGACAGGTCTGGAATCGCCAACCATGAGATGGCAGTCTTGCCTCCTCTCTTTTCAACCTCTAGCTATAAGCCTAAATGACACTTTCTGTGGCTGTAATTCTTATAGTACTGATCATAATTCAAAAGTTATATAATAGTTATATGTTCTCTCAGGGACCTCTCTTCTCTTTGCTATTCACTCATAATCAGGATGTAGATACACATATAAGACAAACACTGCACTGTATAAACACGTGTAAAACATTTAGCAAACATCTTGATTGTGATTTACATGTGTTAGTTTAATGGACCTTAGAACAAGAGAAAAACTACAACCAAAATATTGTGTCCACTTCTGCTTTATATCTAGAACAATGTATCTGCCATACCTCCTGCTCCCTCTGTAGTGTTAGCTTCTCTGCCAATATTGTATCTCTTTCATGTTGTAGTTTTTCTCTGTGTATTTTTTCATCCTTGAATTCATCCGTAATTTGGTGGAGCTCAGAATCAAATCTAAACGGACAATTAATAAAGCAAATAATTTCATCAGTCTTATTATCCATTAATGTGGTAAGAAACTATTTACAGTATCTCATTCTGCTTTTATAGAGTTAAAATAATCAAACTGACAAAACAAACTTGGTTTTAATAAAACATATACTTCTTTTTTTTACTTTTATATTTTACTTTCCTCTCTAATGGAATACTGAAAGTATAACAGGGGCGGATTTAGGCCGTCTTCTGGAAGACAGTCAGATTTTCAAGTGAACATTGACGAGTATCTAATTATTTTTTGTCGGAAGACGGTCAAAAATGGAGGACAGATCAACAAAGTTAATTTGGAAGCCTGTCAGAAAATATCTTTGGATCCGCCCCTGTATAACTTGCATTCTTTTTAAAACATCCATATCAAAATGTAAGAAAGAATTCCACTTACTTCCTTTGTTTCTTCTCCAGCTCAGAGTTTCTGCTAAGACTCTCCTCCAGATGGAGCTTCATGTCTTGCAGCTCTTGGTTCACTCTATGGGACTTCCTCTTAAAGCTGCTCGCCTGGCCTTGAGTCTCCTCCAACTCCAGCATGGTCTCGTGTAACTGAAGGAGAAAAATAGAATGATGGCATTTTATACAAAAGTTTGTTGTGACACATCTCTAAAAATTATGCAGTTGATTAGGTGCAGATACACTTTTATCCTGCACCACTTGGGATTTGTAGTGAAAATTAAATGACAAACATTTTCATCTTTTATTTTGTATTACAATTATATATATTAAATATCATTGGTTCAAAAATTTTCTGTACTCATCAGTAAATTGGTTACCTTTCTCTCCAATTGTTTCCTCAGACTCTCATGCTGCTCTGCTATCTCATCTTTCTCTTGTTGAACCTTCCTCTTGGTAAAGTCTAACTCCCTCATGGCACGCTCCCATCTCTGCTTGTATATGTCACCTTGACGAGAACAATATAATGTATATGGGACAGTGAACAGAATGTGTTAGGTGTGACAGCTCACTGAGCACAATTGTGCTGGGTGTAACAAAATGAGTGGATCAATACTTTTGCTTTATATGTCTGGCTAAAAGAACAGGTAACATAAGGTGCAAGGTGTTAATTCTAATGGAACCACCACATCTACAGTTGTAAAGTCAACATAGTAACAGGTTATATTACAAATTTGCGTCAAATTCTACCATTTCAAAGTTGAACTCAATATAGAACAAGAGAAGTGATGTGCTTACTTCCATCCACCTCATCCTCATCCATTTCATCCTCGAGAGAAGAAGCGGTCCAGAGCCGCGCCTGCATCACCTCCATCTCTAACTGCTCATTTTTACGCTGCATGCTGTTAAACTTGGTCTGGAATTAGAAGATATATAATTATAAAATATTACAACTGAATCCATGCAATGCACAGTGCATGTAACCAGCTTTTTTTCTCGCAGACAGAACTGAAAATGTTTGCCGATTAACCCAATTAACAACAAGTACCAGCATAGCTTAATCTACAATACCCGACTATTCCACATGGTGACATATTTATACAAGTGATAAATTATAACAGTCCTACCACAAGCTGCATATATTTTGAGTGCTCCATGACAAAATATTGCTATCTTTTCAAAAGTTTCCCGGTCTTAGTACAGGAATACTTTCCTGTTTTCCCAGTGTTTTCCTTTAGGTGAAAACAGGAGGTCACTGCTCGCTACTGGCCAGACACAACTACAACCATGACCTGCCTGTTATGCATAAAGATCTCGACTTCTGCTGTTTCACAACAAATCTGACCAGAAAATTAAATTGCATTTTGATATCAAGAAATCTGATCCTAATGTATTGGTGGGTCACTGGGACTTCCAGGCTGTAGCCCCAGCTCTCCCATCACATACACTGTGGCCTACAGGAAATGCAGAAGTGATATTTCCTATAGAACTACAGGCACTGTCAGCTCAGCTTCACTATACTTAACATAACAATGCCTGTGCCAGAAATCTGGGGAAATGTAGTATTATTTTAATGGATGCCACTTAAAGGACATGGTTTTATATAAGAGATTTTGCCTTTGAATATCACAGAATGCCATGGTAAAGATACTTATGCCAGCACTGTACAACTCTTGCAACTTCTGATCTTGCTAATTTTCAACATTATGAATAACCATAGAAACTGTTACCAAGTTAGATTTTCACTGTTATGGAAACATCACCAAATTATTTTCAGAGGGGATACACAGGAATCTTAAAAGTGAATATCCTGTTGTCAGATAACAATTTACAGAAGGGCAAGGCTATATATTTGTATCTTATGGTGTACTCACATCTACATCACCTGCTGCGTTAACTTTATATCTTCTGATACAGTCACTTTTATTTATCTTCTGGTGTATTTACCCGTATATATCTTTACAAGTATTTACCTGTATATCTCTTTGTGTATTACCTGTATATCTTAATTACTATTTACCTGTGTATCTTTAGTGTATTTACTTGTATTTCTTTAGTGTATTTACCTTATTTCCTTTGTGCATTTACCTGTATTTCTTCAATGCATTTACTGCATATCTTTAGGCATATTTACCTGTATATCTTTAAAGTCCTTCTCCAGCCTCATCCTCTCAGCTGTCTCTGCCTCCAACATCTCGGTGGCGTGGGTGGAGGTGGTGTGCTCCTCAGACAGATCAGCTGTCAGCTCTGTACACTGGAATATACAGGGAAATAAACACATGTATCCTGGTTATATACTCCTATACAGGAGACCATCATACAGCTTGGATAAAAATATTAACAGGAATGGCCTTTTCTTCCTTTTTTAAAATTTACAAAAATATTTAATAACATTAAAAGGAAAATGAAGATCTCAAATTTGAATTCATGAGAAGCCTGCCATCTGTTTTTTTTTTTTTTTTGTTTTTTTTTTTACAACAGATACAGGTGCTTTAATCATTCTGAACCAACTGTTTTCATAACAACATGTTCATGCTTAACCAGAGGGGAAAGATAAATCAGAAAACAAAATAGTTCACAAAAAGGGGTTTCAACATGGTAAGTTGGATGCAACTTCAAATGAACAAGATTCAGTAAGCAAAGTAGATTTATTAAGACAGTAACAAAATAGCAAATTAATATTTTTTAATCCAAATCTATAAATTTATTGGTTCACTTCTGCTCTAGTAAAATGTTTACAATGACCTTATAGGTATGATATACAGATCTAACAGGAACCAGAAGACAATTCCTACACATGGACTATATAGGGCCATATACACAGCCTGGTATTGGACACACCAGAGAGATTATCTATAAAATACCTAACAATATATGTGTGTATACCCAGTCATACCTTGATCTCCAGTTTGTCACAGGCCTGCTTATAGCTGGTCTTTTCCTTCTCACACTTCTCAAGCTTCATCTTCAGTGACTCCAGTTCCTCCTAAGAAACATACAAACTTATAATTTTCGCCAGTCTCCTGCAAGGTTTTTTCTGTTCTAGTGTATTTTGTATGTGAAGTTAAGCAGAACTCCACTTCTATTCAGGTTTTTAAAGACTCAGAGTAATCACTGATCAAACAACAATGAATGCGGCATCAAATTTCTAAAGGCGCAAAGAAAAAAATCGTCCTTTCTTTTATAAGTGCCATATTTCCCAAGGTTGAGGGTGGCAAGTAATTGCTTTAGCCTGTTCCAACATAGAAAACTGGTAAGAAGAGCTTAAAATGAGTTGATGTTGAGTTAATACAGTGGTTTTTATACCAAATATTGAACTTTTCCTGACAAAGACTTGTTTGCTCTAGCATAGACTTAAAGTGTTTGTGAATTTCATAATTTCATCATTAGTCATAAAAAAGAAATGAAGGAATCGATTCCTAAGCAAAATACTTAACAGTCACAAATGCAAGTTTTCAAGTGTGTTCATATAAGTGACTGGTCAAGCTTTAATCATTTTTGTTTCTCTGTGAATTGACATTTTTGATGAAACATTTACCTAGGCTTTCTACAATAATATATACAGATTTTATCATTTTGAAGTGCAACAGTGTTTCTCATATACCATCTTACATTTTAGTNAAGTGTTTGTGAATTTCATAATTTCATCATTAGTCATAAAAAAGAAATGAAGGAATCGATTCCTAAGCAAAATACTTAACAGTCACAAATGCAAGTTTTCAAGTGTGTTCATATAAGTGACTGGTCAAGCTTTAATCATTTTTGTTTCTCTGTGAATTGACATTTTTGATGAAACATTTACCTAGGCTTTCTACAATAATATATACAGATTTTATCATTTTGAAGTGCAACAGTGTTTCTCATATACCATCTTACATTTTAGTCTTCTCATTTCTCATATACCATGTTACATTTCGTCTTCCTCAAAACTAGCTACTTTTTATTAATGTTAGGTGTGACCAATTTACTGGTTGAAACAGTATGTTAAGAGTGCTTGATGTGTCTCTTAATTAGTTCTCCCTTGTTTGCAGTGTTTGTTAAAGTATGGATGTGCCAGTGTCTTTGTAATTCTATAGTCGCTGAACACAAAATAAGTTGTTTGGTCTATAACATATACCAGTGTGTTGGCATTGCCAGGCTCTCATTTCTTAATATCCCTATATTGCACAGTACATTGTGTTAGATGTGCAGTGTGTTGGATGTGCCAGTGTGTTGGATGTGCTGACCAGTATGTTAGATATGCAGTTTATTAATGTGCCAGTGTATTAGGAGTTCCCACCTCTCTGTCCTTCAGTTCCTCCTCCGTCCTGTGCACATTGAGAACAGGCTGCACCTTGGTGTACAGCTTCCACCAAGACCACTCTCTGATCTGCATGAACTTTCTCACATTGCGCTGGATACACTTGATGGCAATGTGTTGGACCTGCGCATAAGGGGAGAACACATGAGGTGCACTGAACAACACAGTACATGTGTAACACCAATACCAACCCCCCTCCCCTGTCAAGTATGAGATTATAGTATTCTGATGAAAGAATACATTATGAAAAGCAAAATCTCTGAGATGGTTTTTGCAACAATACATAAAAGACAAGAAAAATAGCATTTTAACCATGAAAAATTGATAAGTTCACTGTTAAAAATGAGCAATTTTCACACAAATGTCACACAGGCATTTTAAATTTTAAGGCTGTATCTTTTACAGACAAAGAACGAAACCAGGTTTATTGTAAGGCTGCATTTCTGGTCTGCATTTTAGTGAATACAGGTCAGATAGTGGCAATATGACAATTAGTCAAATTTTTTTTTTCTAAAAACTCTTCAGGTGTTATTTCTGGGAATGCAATCTGTAACCACTCAAGGAACACAATTCCAGGTATACCACAGTGTCACAAAACATGCTCCTACCTGTAACTTCTTGACTCTCTGTCTAACCAGGTATCCTCTGCAGAACTTTTGGAATGCTATGACAGTGTCAGCTATCTTTCCATCTCTGGTATCCTCCAACTGGGCTAGTACACCAGCACGGAAGAACACCTGAAACAATACACAAGGACCGTAAATACCTTTCTGTGAACTAAGTTTGTTCATCGTCTCTGGTGAAATGGTAATAAAAATGCCACATTTCATAGGTAGAAGAACAAAGTTAGTCCTTTAAGAACTGATTTACTTTAGAATGATTTATTTTTTTGTCATCTAATTTACCTTATTGTAATTACTGAATACTACATATTATAGTTTCAAAATTCCAAAAAACCTAATGATTATTAAGTTTATTTACAAATAAGTCATCAATATCAAATAAGTATCTGAAACATTTACTTGATAACAATTTTTTTCCTGTCTGCCATTATAATTTTCTGTTTACCATTACAAATTTTACTCCACTAAAAATTGAAAAATTACCATTCCCTAGACCTTTCATGACCCACCTTATTAGCATCAAAACCGGATGGAAATTAAAAGATACATGCTTCAAAAACCATCAATAATTGATCTAATTGTCTAGTAAAATATGCTCTTCTGTCATGCTACATTAAGTTTAGATCTTGCCAAGTAAGTCAGAGTCCCTGTCTTCCAGTATAACTGACTGTGTGTGACATCACACCACCCTGGGTGTGTCTGTACTACAGCCTGCTGTGACACTGACAACATATGGCACTCTCAACTCTCTCAGACCTCACATTTCATTTACACATTTGTCCCTTCAACAAATACACGAAAATACAGTGGGCTGGCGTATTTTGAGTATGAAGCCATGATGACAAAATTGAAAATGGCATCTTGTTTGATTTTAATGTCTTCTTTAAATTTGTTTATTCATCTAATAATTCTTTCCTTCAAAATTAATTTCCAATATTTTTAGATGGGAGATCATGTTGACAATGCCATTCTATGAACACAATACAGCCTGGTGTATTTCTATATGAGCTTAGCTGATGTAATTTGAAGCCAAATTTTAAGCAGTATTTTAAGTGAGAAGAATCCATATAGGAAGGTCCCACACTTTTAAATACAGCTTACCCTGCAAAACAAGCAGCATACATGGAAAATTAGGAGAAAATTGCTTCTTAATCATCTGGGTACACAAATTTCAAGTAGCATACCTTGCAGCCATAAAGAACACTCATCATGCAAAGTTATTCATCAAGTTCTCAGAGAAGAGACCCTTTTACAATAAATCAACTTGTGTTCAATTCTAAAGATCATAGTAAATGGACAGTACATTTAATTACTGTAGGCAACACCCAGTAATTTAGCAAATCAGATGTCACGCCCCCTCCCCCCAAAAACCTTTCAATGGACATAAATTTGGGCAAGTAGTGCATTTATTATAAGGATGCTAAAATGACATGAGTGTGTTTCATTTCTAATTTCCCAATTTTCAATCCAAATCAAAACATTTCTAGCACCTGCAAAAATATTCATTTAAAGTCCAGATTAGACAATATTCTTTAAAATCTACAAATATATCTCAAGAATAGGACTGCCAAATATAGATATTACTTTCATTTTTTAGAAATAGCAGTGCATGCCATGCTTCTATTGGGACAAAAAAAAAAAAAATCTGAAAAGCAATGCATAACATATGGTGCCAAATGTGGATAAAACCCAAGCAGCTATACTGCTACAAAAAAGGTCATGTTCCACAAACGGAGGGATACATGACACAACCGCCATGTTCAAACCCCAGGAACTTATCGCCTGCCCCCTACGATTATTAACACATCATTAATGCTTCATCTGATCCTCCGGTATTTTATTTAACATTCAAATGAATAAATCCACTGGCCTAACATTCATACTGTAAACAGCGCCTTGTTTATATGTTTGTTTTTCCATTCATGACCTGGACATTCTTGTTAACAGTAACAACACTGGACCACAGCAGAACAGCTAGGGAACTTTGTATGGGGGTTGTTTCTAGGCCTGGGTAACAACTGTTATCAGCACAATCCAATCTCCCCATCTCAAGTACAACTTCAACTACAGTTAAGCTATTGTGATGCTCAATTCCGTCTGTCAATAATGGTTTGTTAGATGGGAAATAAATGAACTCTTGGGGTCAATAAAAGTGTGAGCATCAAATATTAATACCCTTTAATATCTATATGTATGTAAACATCATATCCGTTTCTTTAAACAAAGTTCATCTTAAAAGATATGAAGGATCTATGAACATTCACTATTCCTTGAGATATGCTGCATCATAAGGGTTAGATTTATCAGCATTTCCTAGTGGAAAAAATACTGCTTAGTACATCTTCCTCTATATAATGACCAATCAAAATAACTCTTTGTTTTCCACACACAAAAATTCATCATTGAACAACATGAAAAAGCTGATAACATTTCCTGTTATAACTTTCTCTTAAAACTCATATGCATCTCCTATCTGTTTAGAATACCAAACGGGGGACCTCAGAAAATCAATTGAAACAGGATGATAATCAAACCGAAAAACTCTCCAGAAATTTTTGCATACCTCACTCCTGTAGCTCCCCCTGGTGCCTCGAGACAGGTGATATTCACATCTGAACCTGGTCACAGGTGGTATGATGTACACGGTCTGGACCTCACTCCCACCCCCACCCCTGCCCTCCCCACCACACGGCTTCCCGTCCACTGTGATAGAGTCATGAAAAAGAGAACCCATGGTTCAATCATGCTTGCTCAAAACTGCAATACTGATATCCTACTCCTTGCTGCTCCTTGGCTCATCCTCTTTTTTTTCACCCTCTTTCTCAAAGATTATTTCTACTGAATCACATCTCAAGTTATATGTCAGTCCATATCTATGAACTGAGGCTTCAAGTTTTGCCAACTCCAGTACTGGTCTGCTGCCACGGCCTGGGCCAGTCCACTGACACAGCCAAGGGATGGCAGGTAGGACTGACTTTAACAATGTTGCCCTTAGAATTTGATTTACACACAATTGCATTACATGTTTGCCTAATACCTGGTCAAGTGCTGTTCATATATATACCACATAAAAACCTTGCTGAGACATTATGCTTGGCTTGTGGTGCCTACAAATAAAGTTTGATTATATCTAAACATCAACAGTTGTGTATTAATCTCTCCACAACAATAGCTTTGTGGCGGGTATTAACTCATATTTTATTTCAGCAATGAAAGATATCAGGGTAACAAATTGCATAAGTGAACTTAAACCTGGACACAAACTGGGAGAAAAGATATTCATGTTCAAGGATGAGTATCCAGTTCTAAAAGCCCCCCTCTGCTTTTCATCTCCCCACCTCTGGGAAGAAAGGTCCAAGCGTAAGAGTTGTTGCGTGACTACGGGCCACAGGTTTTCTGTTACAACTCACTCCCAATGAGGTTTTATCATGCTATATCAATACAGGTCCACCCAACAGACTGGGCACTGTGTCCACTACAATCCACTATCTGAATCTATTATCACCTTTATGAAAAGCTTCCAAATTGTCATTTTGACTCCTTATGTACCTCACACCAGTCATTTAGTGGTTATACCACTTGACATTAAGGGGACTCTGCTGTGACCCTCCCCCCATTTACTACCCCTCTATTATAACACTAATATCTTTGGTTTTCTTTGACAGAAGGATCCATTACCCAATCCATGTCTGATACCATGTAGACATGAGTTTTCAAGCAGTGGGCAGGCATTTATTCTTTCTTCCTGTAATGTGAACATGATTCAAGACAGTGTATTCTGCCCAGTCCAGCAATGATTGGACCAGATGAAGAGATTGCATGTGTGTTTGGAAGTGAACTATTGATTCTTTCAGGTCTATTTAAGGAACACTGATGATGGAAAGACATTATTAACATCCTTATATACCAGAACCCAGATCATTTTCTACCATTATCACTGGGTAATTAAGTTTATTTTTCATGCAGTGATGAAATGTATTTTTTAATATGACATATGCTATATTTCCTGCCACAACTGCTTGGTATAATTTCATCCAGTGCTTTTTGTTGGATATGTTTTGCCGAATCTCATTTTTCAACATGAACCTCTTGTATGTGTAAAAGCAAACACTCAGTTACTACTGTTGATTTTTCCCTGTGGGTGTGCATGCATGCATGCTCATGTGTGTAAATCATCCCTTCTTAAAATAACTGTGGCCCAAAAGGCAAGCCCATGTAGTATTATTTACTACTGTGATAATATTGCCAAATCAGTTGCATCATTAAGTGCCATGGCACCAGCTGTCATGCAGAACCACACATAACAACACACAGTCAGGAGGTAATAGATGTGGAGGACATACATATTCTGCACATTACTACATATCACTACAGTCTGGAGATGCTTTCTGTCATGTATATCCTGCCATGCCGAGTTAAGACTTAATTCTACCTCCATAAGCTTAGTTAGAAATAAGTATTGGTAATTTGTTTAGGTCATTACAGTACCAGTTTAACCGAATTCAACTAAAACATTTCTCACTTATCTATCAATATCTTCACTTTATCAACTACATTATTCTAAAACAGAAAATTTTGTTTAAAGCTGAAGTACTGTCAGCCATAAACTTAAGTTCACTTGTCAAATAAATCAACACAGCTCACCACTACTACAATTATTTACATTAACCCATTAATGTACTTATATTTACTAACTCAAGATCATGAAAATGACCCATACACACACCACATCACATACACACAAGGTGATCTCTAAAATCATTCATAATCTTTTGAATAATTGCCTACCTTACCTTATTATATCTTATACAAGATAAGTAAAAGATAACTCTTTTAGCTTAATGTCTACTGATTATGTATCGAAATTGTGCCTCTGTGCTCAACAAAACAGCCAAATAGCTGACTACACAGCAGTAAGCATACTGGTGGAGACCTGTCAATCACCTGTCAATGACACTGTTCTTTAAAGGGATAACAACTGTTTGTAAGATATCCATATTTCACAATAAATACATTGTAAACAACTCATAGAAATATAATAAATTCCATTTTATCACCAAAATGGCAGTTAACGCAATTATTCTGGAATTTGTGCTTGCCAACACATCACGTGACCTCCATAGATGGCTACACTCTGTAATAACCTCTTAACAGATAATTACAAAAAATCAAACTTTTTAGAAAAAAACAGGGACTAAGAATGGGTTCCCACAGATTTAGATCGATCCATCAGGATCGACCTAACTCCCTGGGGGTTCATGCTAAATTGCTGTCAGCCAAGCTCCCATGAAAGTTAATTACCCCCTTTCAGCTTTTAGTTGACGGGACAGACATTTAAGCCAGCTAAGTTGACAGCAGTCTGGTGAGACTCCCCAAGGCGATAGATCGATCTAAAAATCTGTGGGAATGCAATTTAAGTTTGACTGTGGGAATGGATTCATTAACCATTGGTAAGTATGGGAAAATTGTTCTTTACCCCAGGAAAAACTATTTTTGACCAAAAGGAACAGTTGTTATCCCTTCAACTGTTCTTTAACTTACCTGACTGAGACCTAGCTTGAAGTTATTCTTCTCCACCTCACAGAACTGCAGGATCTGCTCCGAGACCTTTTTTAAGAGAAAAACATGCAACCAGGTGAGTACAACCAGGTACGAGACCATTGTCTCCAATAACACCACTTCATACAACTCCATGACACCAAACATGTTGACAGTGTTGTAAGTGTGAAATGACCAGAACACACAGTGGTTTCTGACATAAAAACAAGCTTGTGAACATCTGTGAATGGCAACATTGATGATTCCAGCTGGTGTGAGGGCATATGGTTTGTGGTTACACCTCAATCACATCAACACACTGAGGACAACATATTCTACTAACATGATATACAGTGGCTTGTACACGGTAGTAAATGACAGCGTGATAATGACAAAGGACTTAATGTTTTAATATTATGGAAACTTAAAAATTTTAAAATTTATTGACATCATCCACTACTTTTAAGGATAACAGGAATTATGAAATACTTCAAACTAATACACCAAAATCTAATATCATGGATTTTGTACTGCACACTTGAAGTCAAAATATTAAAATAAATACAAGAACATAGAAAAAAGAAAAATTTAATGGTAGAAAGCCCGCCTACCTGTTTCTCGTCTACTGTGGGTCCACTGGGTCTCATTTCAGGGGGCAGTAACACCTCAAATCTCTTGTGGAACTCAGCAAACAGCATATGGTCAGGGAAACCTGTTAAAAAGACCAATATGTAAACATTATTATTCTGCCTGTGTACTCTATGACAGCACAACTTTATGTATATGCTTTTTATTTTTTGGAAAAATTGTCTATTTTATACATTCGAAAATTTTCACAACACCCAAACAATGAACCCAGGTTTAACAACTCCATACAACACTAACCAATAATATTTTGAGGCAGTTTAACTTTGGTATTGTCAAAAATCCTTAACAGGTCCTTTTTTTCACCATCAGTATTCTCAATCAAAATTTTTATTTCATTTCATCCATATCTCTACCTTGTCTGTGTATCCTGACAGCTTCTAATATCTCCGAGCCTCTGATCTGAGCTCTCACTAATGGCACATCTAACATGGAGTCCTCAGCAGTGGAGTTTTTATTTGGCAATAGAAGGGAGGATTTCTGCTCACACAGGCCAGCCTGGGCGTGGGGCAAGATACAATGGATAAAATGGAGCTGGCTGCGGCGTATGGTTTCAATCACAGAGTCCTGGAGGAGACATGATATAATATGAAGAGCACTCTATATCCTGACGTGTTTTAAGGGTGATTTCAATAACAAAACACATTTTATTATACTATATGACAAATTAAAGTATCTGCTGCTGAAAATCTAGTCAGAAGTTAAATAACAAATCACATGAACTTTTACATAAAAAAACAGCTATTATTCAGAAATCTTTCAATATACAGTCAAAAATACTATTTGTAGGACATGATAACCAATGCCTGCATTTTGCCTTACCGCTTGAAATTTAACTTGCAAGCAGACGGATTTTCTTTTGAGTCCTGCTGTTCCACTGACATAGCCACGCCTGATGCTGGATACTCTACGCAGTGCAGTGCTGCCCTCTATCCCAGCCACAGAGCCTGTGATCACCGTGGAGATGGGGCCACGAATGGTGGAGAATAGCTGGGTGATATTAGGTCTGAAAGGAGAAAGAAATATATTGGGTTAACAATCCATGTATGCTACCTGAAATAGCTTATCAGCTAGACCAGCTCACAATATATATTAACTTCTCAGTTTAGCAAAAATAAGAAAAAAATTACTGGGGCAACAATCTCATAAATCATCAATTTTACAATTATTTCAAAGAAAATTCAAGTTATGTACAGAATTTTTTTCCCAAAACCTACAAAATCAAAAACCCTGCCAAGTCTTTCACTCTTAACTCTTTCAACTCATTCAACCCCTCTACTCATTCTGACATCCCCAACATACACACACAAGAAAACAAAAATCTGTAAAACTTTCATTCTTATATCATATCTTCTTCAAACTTCATACCCTTTTCACCATCCCCATTATGGGTATAATACACACACAATTCACTTTATTTCTGGTGAATACAAAACCAACATTCCCAGTCCCTGGTGTGATACATACTGTTGTGAGTCCAGAAGCACCTGGCTGGCCATCTTGGTGACGGGGTTCTCCCTGCACACCCTGAGCCAGCCTGTGGTGTTATACTGGACTGGAGTGGTGCCCCTCATGTGCTGCAGGACAAAACTGTTGTTAGCTGAACCCTTGGTCAGCAGGTGGTCAGTCATGGCTGAAATAACACAGACAGAGGAGATGTCAGGGTCAGTAAAGAAGATTAGAGAATGGATATGGGTGTAACAGTGCTGGTGACAAATGTGCCAGAGATAAGCCTGTGGCAATAAACCTGTAGCATACAACATGGCTGTGTTCTGGATGTGTTTGTTGGGATAGTGACTTCAGGCACTTGAGTGTGATATGGTTTAAATAATGACATATGAAGATAATGTAATTCGAAACTTTGTTGAAACTGACTTCTTACGACAGCAACATAGTGCTATGCATTTTTGAACTTATGTGAGAATAATTTTATCATTTATGGTTAAAAGTTGAGGACACTGATTTTCCGAAGCAAGTCTCGAATTAAATAACATGAAATATAATTGCTACCATACTGAAAACAAACAATATATAAAAAGATATCAGCATCAGCTTTTCTTCCTCAGTATCCCGAGGCTCAATATGTCTTACTTGTAATACTAAGCTATATTGTATCAAAGAACAAACTCGATTTTTCAATATCTAAATAAAGATCAAAGCATAATACACACAAGGGTAAATAATGCACTCCGACCACAAACAACATAACATGCCTTTGTATAAGAAATAACTTGGTATGTATATATGTACACTATATATGCACTGCAATCTAGAAAAGCATATCATGTTTTAAATGGCACAAAAAGCTGGAAAATGATAAAGAACTGAAAGAAGAAGGCACTTCATCAGGCAACTTCCACTGGATCATTGTACAACACTCTATCAATAGTGACAGCAACATCACAACACTCCATAGTCATTATTAGCGCAGTAGTATCACAGCAGTCAGTCACACAACTGCTGCTGTCACAACAGTAACATGCCTTTGGTGTAATCTTCCCATGTGAAATAGCCAACTGTTTATATCAAATACAACATAAGCAGAGCATAGAGTTAGCAGTTAATATATAGGTGCCTATCAAACTGCATCACAAATCACAATCACCAAACAAAATGTCAGGATGGGAATGACTACAATGCTATAAGTTAGTTCTACAGTCATATCAAATAGCTAGATTCCAAGATTGACAGTGTTTATAGTTATGCCATACTGTGACATCATTACATGCAGTAAGTGTGTGTGAGTTAGTAAAGCAATCCATGCAATGATGCAAATCATGATCAGTCTTCAAACTTACCAGATGTTCGTCTCTTTTTCCCTGTGTAAACACAACATACAGTTCTATCATAGGACACCCATAGCCACAAAGTGGGAGAGTACTTAAATTAAATCATTTCTACAGACTACCTAGTTATTTTCATCATTTGATTTGTAGTCTATCCAAAAACTACTACATCATAACTAAGTGCTTCTCTAGACAGATGTATGATGTAAGTAACAAATAATAACAAATAAAAATGTCCTAATCTATAGCTATAACTAACTGAATGTCCTCAATTTGTGACAGCTGTGAAGACGTTTTATCATGAACTAGGCGAGGACTGTAAGAGGAAACAGCTGTAACATTTTCCTTACGTTTCTCTTGTCCTTCTCCGTGATGCATGAGAAGCCTCTCCATGAAGGAGTCGTCTGTGGCGCCGGGAAAGATGGCTTCTTCATCCAGCAGCCACAGCAGTCCGCGCTGCTCATAGTCACGTAGATCATTATTAGAGGCTCGCACCTGGAGGAGAACAAAAATCAATAGCAATAAAGCATTTTAGGCAAAACATTCAACTTTTTTCATGTAGTATTACATACTATGATTAAAAGTAGCCTCATGTTTTCAAGACAAAAAATGGCAAAATGCTGAACCTTCACTTAAATAGAAAAAAACGATGTTTCTCTAAAACTAAAGGAAAAAGTTTCCATAATTTTTTTCTTTCTACATTTTTACATTTGCGGTAAGTTAACCATTGGTGAACCATTCATTAAAACATTTTTTAAAAGAAAAACACATCTTTCATATCCATTTCAGGTCCATTTCCTGCAATAGCAAACTCCACTATGAGTACTTACTTCCTGTGTGTACTTACCATACTCTGGGTGGACTGCCTGTCTATTGCTTCCACCAGAGCTGCAGGATTGGCTGAGGACATGGCATCAAAGTCACAGTCTATGTTTTCCTGAAAAGCATAAGGAATAATTTCACTGATTCAGTAAAACACAGGTTACAAATAACTGGCATATTTTAATTTTGCTTTAAAAAGCCATGCTCACTTATGTATAACACAATGATGATAAGTACAATGAAATGACAGTGGGACGATACTCAATTTTTACATGAACACACTATATAAGATATTAAGTCTACGTGTTTCTGTAAAACATAAGGCATAACTCCATTCAGTAAAATGAAGGTTAGACATAATTGGCATATTAAAACCATGCATAATAACACAATGATACTAAGTACAACGAAATGACAATAGGCCAGATAAATTTTGACCAACACAGGGTAACAATGTCATCCAGAGCACTCTGCGTAACCCATGACACTTACTTGAGCAAACCTGTCCTGCTGGGAGGTGAAGGTGTTGTCATGGAACAGCAGTTGGAGCCTCTCTTGTATGTAGTTATGGCACAGTTCTTCAAATGTAGCACCTGTCTGCCTCCCACAGCTGGCAGGCACCTGGAACCCCGGGGTGTCCAGGATGGTGATGGAGGTACGGGTACGGTAATTGGAGGACAGGGACCTGGAACAAATACCAACAGCCTTCTAGTGCAAACAAATCACTGAATCAGCTTGTGGGTTACAAATACTAGAAACTGTATTCATGGTCGTGTACCACCTTCATCCACCATTTTCTTCAGCATATTTATGGTATTTACTTATAATTGTTAGACATTGAACTTTTTTCTTATATAGTATTTTTTTTTAAAGATTTATAATTCTCAGACACTCATAGCAGTGTTGTTTCTAACACAAAGCCAACTAACTTTTCAAAACTTTTCAGCACAACTTTTGAAAGAATACTAATAATATCTTTGAGGAAAATTATTTCTTCATGCTGTTTAATTTACTGATTAATAACCATATTAAAACAAAACTGTTATGGTTAAAGTCACCAGTATATTACAACTGTCTAATACAACATGCCTGTTATTTAGAGAGACCACAGCATTAAATGCCTCAGCATAGTTCTATAACAAACCCCTCCAAGGCTTCTGTGCTGACATGTATGATATTATATGTATGCATATGTATACCTGTATGATATAATATACCTGTTGATTAGAGAGACCACAGCATTTAAGGCCTCAGCATACAGTCCTATAACAAAACCCTCCAAGGCCTCCAGGGCTGACACTGTGATGTCTCCACTTCTCTCTCCAACTGGGGACGCTCTGAAATATAACAATATAGGTATAGGTATGTGAAGTTGAACTTGACAACTATAATATAGTTGATATGTTGACAAGCCTTTCATTCAAGTTTAGCCTATATCAAGTATTTTCCTTTTAAATAATATATTTTAAAATCATTACCTGATGATTACCTGTATAGAATGGAAGCATTTCAACTGAACTATTAAAGCAGGCCTATAGCCAGATTGTGTCCAGGCCATACTGTGGTGTTCCTCACCTGAAGGATGCCCTAGGGAGAGAACCAGTGGAAGGACTGAAGATATTCCTGGACAGCTCCTCCACTGTGGTCCCCAGTAAACTGGCAGCCTTCTGGGCTGAGGCTGGCTTGGCAAAGTGGTGCCGGTTGTTTACACCTATAACACAGAGATATAGTATTCAATAAACCACCGTGTCTAAACATTTATGTACAACAGGCAATACTATAAAGATGTGTTAGTAGCATGAAGTTAAGCTACCATGGATGACTGTTGAGTTATCAAATTACTCCTTTGCCATGAATCATTTGTGCATAAAAAAAGTTTAACTAATGTCTTCTATCTTTGTTGTAATCCTCAGTATGTATAGTTTACCTTTCATAGCCCCAGCCACTCCCAGGTGGTATATGGCAGCCAGCACACTGAAGATGGCTTTGGACTCAGCCTCACTAAATGCCAGAATGTGCATGGCCTGGAGAATCTTTGCCCAGTGCTGCGTGGCTTTCTGCTGGTCTTCAGTCTGCAGGGTAGGTAAAATTGGGATAATATTTAGACTCAAAAGAAGTCTTATGTAACCAAGATAGCAACTTCTAACATTAAGTGATTAGTCACACACACAAAAGAAAGGTTGGAATCTAAACAAATCAGTCTTTTCTTGTAAACAAAACTTGATAAAATGCACATTAGAAGTTTAATGTAAAAGTACTAAAACCAATCTCTAATAAGGCAAAACTAAAAAGTTATTTTTGTGCTGGAATGCAATTTTGTTACCTACCCTCTGCAGTGGAGTCATGAAAATGTTGTATTCCTCCAGGTTCTGGAGATGAAGTTCACTCCTAAAACACAATACAAAACAAACCATAAAATATAAAACACATTGTCATGCCTAAAACAACATCAGTCTGACATAAACATTTTATACTGAGTCTGTACAGATCCATTTTCAAAAAGTGGGTATGGGGGAGGGAGGGAGGGAAGGAGTGAAGATCTAGAGAATGAATGGTATAAATTATCTTCTATTTTCTTGTTGACCAACCTTAACACCCCATCCACCCCAGCTATCATCTGATAGAAGGGGGAGTAGAGTTAGGGAGGGCGGGAGGGGAGAGAATGAGCTGTATGATTTATCCCGTATTGTCATGTTGACCCACCTTAACATCCCATCCACCCCAGCAATCATCTGGTAGAAGATGTGGAAGGTTGGCTCTCCTTCTGGTCTTCTCACAACACGAGAGCGTTCTGGCAGCAATACCTGGAAATTGAAAAACTGCATATAACCTCAACAACACTTTGCAAAACCTTTTTAATTTGTACTGCCTGATCTTGCTTGCCTACTCAGAAAAATACACACCAACAAAGAATAATGGTAATAGTATTTTCTTTATTTGTTATGTCATCTGTGTGTCTACTCGCCTGTATAGAGGCTGCTGCTACCTGGCCAGACACATCAAAGTCCAGAGAGGTCATCTGTGAGTAGCGTGTGGCATTTGTGTTCATGATGGTTTTACTGTTACCAAATCCCTCTAGCAGGATGGAGGCCGCATTGATTTTGTCCACTGAAATGATATAATTCTGACTGTGATTAAAAATTTTATATTCAAGAAAGCTGCATTTGACCTCCTACTAACATTCACGTATACAATGTATCAAAATTGCCGTTTTGCACCAGACAGAAGAGGAGCCTGTTCACTAAAAGTTTTAATTGCCAGTATTAAGTTTACCTTCAGATCCTCAAAAATGACTGCAATAAAGGCAAGTCTTTGTTTACAAAACTGACAAAAACACTTCAATTTCAAGATTCGTTTCTGTGTCCAGCTGACCTGTGACTACATTATTGATGCTGCCTGCGGCTGTCACTAGATAGTGTAGCACATGCTTAGCATTGGTGGTCTTCCCACTGCCACTCCTCCCCACAAATACAATCGACTGGTCAATGCCCGTCGTCTGCATCTTGCGATACGCAATCTGAGCCGATGCATACACATGTGGAGGCATGTCTTCCTGTTTACAACCTCGGAACATCTGAATAACCTGAAGACACACAGAGTAAACTTGTCATAAGGTGTGAGAACTATTTAGTTGGACAGAATCCCATGACAGAGCATGAAGTAAATTAAAAAGACTGAAGTGAAATCTATCTATTGTTAACATCTCAAGTTTAATGTTGTAAAAATCTTAAGTTGTTCACATAATAATACTAATTTTTGTAATATCTTTACAGAAAAAAGCTTCTATATTAGTGCAAAATCAACATTTTAAAAATAAAAGGTGAACATATTTCATTATAAATTAAAATGACTACATAATCCATGGTTCACCTTTTCAGAGTATATAGAGAGTGGGTGTGTGGGGTTGACCACCAGGAGGGAGGGACCAGCATATGTGTGGATCAGGTTACTGCCATATCTCTGCCTCATTGTGTGCAGGACACCCGACTCATTCAGGTACCGCAGCGTGGCAAGATCCTCAGCACGGTCAAACACTGGCGGATTGCACTGGAATAAGAATGAGCTGACAGTCACTACATATACCACGATTGCTACCTGTCTGGTTTGGTTTTGAAATCAAATTGTGTAAAAGTGGTACACCATCATTTACATTACAGACAGGTTTTTATTTTCCAAGAATACAGTCATCAAAGTAACATCAAAACATCTTCTTTTTTGAATCGACAACTTGAAGCTATTTTGTGAAATACAAATGTCGATATCACACTCACAAATGTGAGGTTCTTTCAACTGGAATTTTATTCTCAAACTAAATAAAATACAAATCACTATTTTTATAATTGTTTCTAAGCCAGATAAATTTTAGATTTTTGTAAAGAATTGGGGTTAATTTCCATTCATTTTCATCAATATAAATTATTCAAACAACTCCATACCTTTTCTACATCATCTTCATCCACTTCCAGAACCTGATCTCCATGTTCCAGCTTCACCTTACACTTGCCCTCTCCAGTGCTGCCCTCTATCTTTCCTTCCTCCTTGAGAAGCTTGGCAGCAGCAAATCCTCCCCTGTGAACCAGCCATACCTGCTCTGCCTCCAGCCACGCCTTCTCTGTGGCTATCTGGTCTTCTGACTTGGCCTGGAGAACAAATATAAATATTGTGCAGCACTCCATGAAATTGGTGATCTTTTTAATTATTTTCAATGAGGTAATTCTGTTTCAGATGTTTTTTTTAAAAACAATTTAATGAATAAATAGGAATCTGATAGTTTTGTATAGGTGTCTAAAATAATAAGAGACATCAAGCATAACATATAGCTATTTATAAACCATCGTTGGTTCAAAATAATGAGACAGATTTTAGAACCACCAGACAAGACATTACAACATGACCCGATGGCAGACCTATGCCTTTGAAACAACTTGCCTGAAGCATAAACATATATATATATATCTGACATAATGCAAAAGCAGACATCCCTAAAGCTTTGTCAGTCCAGGTAACTTACCTTCCTTTCCATAATTATCTCATATATATTCACACAATACAAGCCTTTCTATCAACTGAATTTTAAACTCACACAGTTAAAATAAAATCACTTTCACATGACAAGTGAGACATCTGTGCAGGTACTAAGACTTGAGCACATTACAAATCCATTAGCAGCTCCACTTGGAGGATCACACAAACCCAGAGCATCACATTTAACTCATAAATATCCATACTGTGGGCCCCTTGTAGGCCCTAAACACTGGCTGCAAGGACAGAAGACATGCTTGCATTTACAATTAACCTTTGACAGCATGCCCCTCTAGGAAGTAAGAGTTCCTGTCCTTGGTGAGACAGATTGACAGTTCACTGCCTGCAGCCTGCATTCTTCAATGATGAAAGCGTATTTTTATCTCAATTAATTACCTAACTGACCTTCAACAAATGTGCCAATTGTTTCCGCAATAAAAATCTAATCCAAAAACAAACAGCTAAGCTATGCTCTAAATCTTGAAAAAGATAGGCATAAAACCTTAGAAACAATAATCCATATACAGTATGCTTTTTTGTCTTTAGTTAATGATCCACTCCTTTCCTTATATTTCCTTTCCACAGATGTGTAATAAATGCTTTAAAACTTAGAGAAAAACCTCACAATTACTGCAAGGAAAATTGAAAAAAAAAAAAAAAAAAAAAACACACACACACA